GCTACTCAAATATTTTACGTTTTTGATACTAAATTAACTTCTGAAGTATAATTTTTTATTGTTTTTATATTTTTCAATATATTTATTTTGTTTGTACAAAATAAAAAAATAATTTTTAACGATACAATAGTTTTCGTTAGGCTTAACATCGACGAAAATTCAACGCGAAGCGACACGCAACGAAGAAAAATTTCGAAATCGGATACGTTAAACTATTTTTTCGTACGTAAATCAGTTATCCGAAATATCAGTTATCCGGACAACTTCAGTCCCCAATTGATTCGGAAAATCGACGCTCTACTGTATATCTTTTTTCAACTGTACCATTTAGTTTTTCTGTAACAAGTCTATATCCACTTAAACATTTATTAATGTCGATGAGTAAGACCAATGTAGCTTTAAAATATGAAATAGAAATTATAAGGTTCCTCACAACAAAAAATTGACAGGAAAACCTTTAAAAAATGTTTAGGTGTGTCAGCCAAAAGAGAAAGAATGCAAGGAAAATTTTTGAAACCGATTATTTCTTAAAGGATTTTTTAATTTATTTTTTTTTTATTATTCTTATTATGTTTTGCTCACGTAGAATAGCCTATAATTTAGACAAGGTTCAATTGTTTCCATCAGAGATAAAATTTTACTCAATTGACTATGCTCATTCTTGTAATTAGCCCATACGATTATACAGAAAAACATTGATAATCATTATCTTTTAGACTTAATAGTCTTATTGCAGGAAACTTTATGTTGGATTTCCAACTTCTTTTTCTTTATTTACCCGTCATTATGAAATGGTAGCAGCATTATTATTTGCTAGCAGTATGTAATGATAAACACTACTGAAATTATCTTTGGTATATTTTTTTAATATGACAGTTTAAGTTAATTCTATATCTTAATTAGATGCGTCTGAATCGGAGATACTGATGAAGTATTAGGTTTACGAGAGTAATGATATTATGCCCAACAGTGGCCAATTGGATAAAATCATTGAACACTGGTTGATTATGGGTCCATACCTGACCCACGGCCTGGTCACGTGAGGTTTTCATTGCGTGTCTAATACCTAAATAAAACCTAATTTTGATAGATCAACTAAATGTGTGTTGCGCTGCCTCATTCCATTAATCCAATCCAATGGCGTTGTTTCTAGAAAGCAGCTGTTCAGATGATCATTTTGAAGAGTAAATCGAAAATTATAAACTTTTTTATTGTTTAGAACTAAATATAATAAACAATATATATAAGGAACTAACGAAAAAAAGTAGAGTTCAATTTCTTACATGATGATCTCAAGAATACCCTGTGATAGAAATACTTTGCGTGAGAATGACATAGTTTCGTCCTTGATCTGTTGATAACAGCATAGTTGTAATGACATTCTGATTTCCATTTCCATCAAAGAAGAGTAAAATGCAGTAGCATAATTTCTGTAGCTTAAAATAATACGAAGGACAGAAATTCATTGCAGTTAGCAGCACAACATGAAAATAATTTATTCCATGCAATTGCGTTTTCTTTTGTTTGATTCAACGTTTTGCATTCTTACTAAGGAAGTTTTAAGAAAATAAAGGATTCTCTAAACGCAAACATTCCGTGAATGTGGGGGGATCACGCCTTGAATATAGATTAGTAGAATTGCAGACTTTTATCATTTAATTTGAAAAATTTTGTAATTATGTTAAATAATGCTAAGGTAAATACATATTTTTAGTGCGTTAGTTTGTAAGTTAATACGATTTACGAAGTTATTCTTTCTGCTTGAGTTTATTATAGCGTAATAGAAAGAAAAGATAAGTAACTTTCGTTGAAGTGATTTTTTTTAAATTCGTGTACAGAGTATTATGCATTATTTAAACTTATCAGGATTTTCAGCCTTATAATTAAAATAATAACATTGAAAAAAAATAATGAAAAGAGATAGCATACTCATGAACCTGTTATCTTCGCGACATGGAAAATTATTTTATTGATAGTATACAATATGTAACTAAAATAATTATATGTAATAATTATTTTTATTACATATAAAATTGTAATAAAAATTGTTGTACTAAAGGCAAACCTTGTTACAGGGGAGAGATTGGTTAATACAGTATTTTCTTTTTTTCTAAATTTACATACAATTTTACATATGCTCTAGATTATTACAATATGTATTAATTAAATCAATTAAACAAATAATTCAATTTACATTTATTAATTTAATATCAATCAATTTTTCTTAAAGCGTTGATTGATTTACAATATGAATATTAATATTTAGCTTAAAATATTTGAAATGTTAGTACATTTAAGTAAATTAACTAAAATAATTATAGAGTACGGATTGAATTATTGATAATCTTTATATGAACCGAGCATATAATGGGCATCAAATAATCCTAATATACAGGACGTAGTGGCTCAGTAACCAATCACAAATTAGCATTAGAGTATTAATTGAAAAATATTTAAAATTTCTTGACAACCATTATTTCTCTGAGTTTTCTGTATGGCTTATCTGAATTATATGTATTTAATTTAAACACAAAATCTTACAAATACATCTTTCTAATTAAAATTTAATTATGTGTTCATTAAGTTTCGACCAATTAGAACGCGGAGAATAATAAAATAATGTTTTTTTAAAGCTTTACAGTCATTTTTTTGCGAAATATATGTGCTAATTCTGTTTTGATTCTCACTTACATTCTAATTATTTCTCTGTTTACAAAAGAGATTCACAAATTAACCGCCAGAGGAATTCTGTCGTTTTGTTGTCATTCGGCCATTGCTGAGACAAATCGATCATTTCGATTATGTTGAGTACATGCGGTCGCACTAAACATTGACTCCTCCTACTGGTGTTGAACTGAATATAAAATTTCACCGATCAATATCTCGCACTTCAGTGGTGGCATAATCACGGACAATACAATAGTAGTACTAATTTTTTTAAAATATTATACAATTTCCGATCTTTTCAATATTTAAATATAATAATTGTCAAGAAAGTATTTGTTTAAAACTTCACAAAGGAATAGACACTAAAGATTAAAACAAAAACAAGCCACATTTATTTCAAATAGTTTACAATGAGTACAAACTTATTCATATTGTTTTTCTTATAATGATCAATTTAGGTAACTGTAAAACGTTCTCGCAGTACAGATAATAGCCTATATCAAAGAATATAGTAAATGACATTCACAATAGTAATTATTTTCATGTTTTAAAGTAGATAAGACACTGCTTTTGTAAACATGTTTAACGCTATGAATAAACATGCGAAGATATTTGAACTCCTAATATCCTTTTGTTATCCAGTCCACTGAATAGCAAATTTCACAGAATATTAAATAGTTAAAATTTGATAATAAAACAGTGCTGATACATTGCATTGCTGTGCATATACAAGATTTTTTTTCTTTTGTACGGCTACATATATTTTTTTTCTTATGTAAGTATAATCTAGGACACGATTATTATTTATTATAATTACAAACATCACATATACTCACTTATCTATAAATAAGTTAAAATTTAAACAAGAACAACTTTATAAATAACAAAGATTTTTTCATTTTTCAATAAAAATATCTGGTACAAAATTTATACTAAAAATGGCGAGTAAAATTGTGACTTGGTAGACAATCAAGACACGTGCATATTCATTTAACTTTTCTGATGAGAGAACTTGAAGTTTCTCTTTCATCTCTTCCGATTTAAAATTTTTGGAGGCAGTGGTTGCAATAGAATAATGGGAAGAACTGATATTAAACATGAGCTATTCCTTTCTTGATAGCGCTAGGCCTTGGAAAAGATTCTGGCCTTTGTTTATTGTGCTAAAATTAGAATAAAAATTTTTGTAAAAATATAAATTTTATAGATCTTATGCATAATTTAATTATTTACTTTTAATATTTAAGTTTATAAACCATTTTCTCTTACAGGACTCAAGATCTCTTGACGACAGTCATCTCCATATAAATCTTCATTATCTATACGCGAAGGTATAGATGCATAAGAAGCCACACTTATTGCGGGCGTTCCTGGTTCAGGTTGACTATGAGGTCTTGCTTTATCCATATCTATATACCTTTGAGAAGAACCAACGGCATATGCATACTGTTGGCCACTTTGTATCGCTGTAATTATTAATATTTAAATTTTAATTTCCTTTAAAAATAGGGTTTGTATTCATGTGAGAAAACTCATTTATTTACCTCTTTCTAGAGTATGCCGTGATTTTGATTTATGTAAGAAAATGGAAACAACCAATATGACTACTATAATAGCTGCTAGAGATGCTGATGCTGGGATAATTACCGAAGGATCGAGGTAAAAAGGCATTCTCATTCCAAATCCTAATTTAAAATAGTACAATTGTTAGTACTGTAAAACAATCAAAATTGTATAAGAAGTGAATAAAACCAACCTTTATCGCCTGTTCTAACACTAAGAATACCACTAGGATCACCTCGACCATATCTGTTATTTGCAGTAACATAAACGTTATACGTAGTATCACTGTCTAAACCTGTTAGTGTATATTTGGTCTGATCGGAAGCTAATAAAGGAACGTGTAACCAGTGTCCTACTTTTTTACGATAATGAAGCGTATAACCTGAAAATTTATTTAAATATTTAACAATTTATATTATAGTAATTTATGGATACCAGTTTAGTTGATGAAAATTAATTTCAAATACCTGTCACTGGTTCATCTCTTGAAATGGTATGTCCCCATTTAACACTTATTGTTGAATCAGAAGCAGATAATAGGGAAACCGATGGAGGCCGAGGTAGTACTATATATAAAAATAATTAAATATAAATAAAATTGGAGAAATATATATGATATAAATGAAAGAAAAATAATTGCAAACCTCCATCTAATGTTTTAACAATCAGTTCTTGAGAAGCGGGTCCCGTTCCAGCTCCGTTATAAGCTTTTACTACAATGCTGTATTTAGATGATTTCTTAAGACCATTTAACAAATATTCATGAGTGATGTTAACGTTCATGGCTTCCACAGTTTTAAAAGAATAAGGTTGTGGAGATCCTTCCATTTTATAACCAACGTAATAGCCTTTTAATTTTCCATGCCAATATTCCTTGGGAGGAGCCTAATTTCAAATTGACATATCATTTTATAAATCTGGAAAAGTTTTCTATACATTAGAGAAATTTTCATACCTTCCATCTAACTAATATTGTGTAAGGGCCTCTAGATTCAACCCAGAGATCTGTCGGAGGGCCACTTGGCTCTATAAAAAAATATTATTTTTAGTTAAAAATTTTTAAATAAGTTTAAAATTTCTATAGTTACCTTCTTCTCCCGTCACAAATCGTACAGTTTCAGAAGGTTCCCCGTGACCTATTTCGTTTTCCGCAATAACTGTTAAAGCATAAGATGTACCTGGATGAAGATTATTTATAACTACAGAAGTATGAGCAGCCGTCACTTCTTCCTCTTGCAACATTTGAGAACCGGCTATAAGTTTGAGACGCCATTAATAATAAATATAAATTCATATTAAAACTTATAAAATATCAAAAACTTGCCTTTGTCTTTCCAATATTGAACAATATATTTGGTAATCGGGCTATTTCCCGAATAAGGTGCTGTCCATGTTATATTGGCACTTCTACTCCAAATCTCCTGGATTTTAACATCTAACGGTTGAGCTGGCACCTCTGCACGAAACATTAAGCACGTAAGCTCAAGTTAAAAATTTTAATCATCTTTTATTCTTAAAATATTACCAACCAACAACTAAAACTTTTATATTTCTATCGTCACTGCCATATATATTCTGAGCAACACAACTATAGAGTGCTCCATCTCGTCTATCAACTGTTCGGATATATAATTCAGAATTTAATCCAGTCGTTGAAGTTGTCTCGAATTTTTCATATCTGTTCGAATATATATTTTATATTATTTAAATTTTATTAATTTTATAAGAATAGCAATGTCATCAATCAAAAATAAATCTTTTAAGTTGTTCTACCTTGACAATTCTGAAATTTCTAATTCTTTTTTATCTCTTAACCATTTCACTGTTAGCGGATGATCACCCAAAGCATCGCATCTCAAAATGGCACTATCTCCTTGTCTAACTGTTTGAACACTAAATTTTTCTTCAAATCTAGCTGGAACTATATTAATATATATATTTTAACAACTAATATTACAATGATAAAATTTTAGATGCTATTTGATATCCCAGATATGATAAAATAACCCGCGAAAATTTGTAAAATAATAAGATAACATGCTTCAATTTCAGACAAGCTTACACATAATCCAAAGTAAATAATTTAAATAAACCAATTTATTTTTTATAAATAAATCAACATTCTTTGGAATTAATATTTTACATTCATTTCAAAAACAAAAGAAGCCTATTGCCTTTATTTACATATAAACATTACTGAAGAGGATTTGAAAATGGAAAATATGTTTATACGTTTCTTGAAGCATATTAAGAGTTGTAAAAAATGACAAAAATTATTAAAAATAAATACCAACATAAATTGGGAAATTTTTTATTAAAATACGAATAATAGAAAAGTTCAAGTTAATTGAACGACAAAAATCAATATTACTTTCATTGTAAAAGTTTAAATCTTAAGCGGCTTTTGTTTACATTAATTATTCATTTCTGCAAATTAAATCCATTTAGATGTAACACTTAATGTATATATAGCTGATAATAAATACAAATTTAATTTTTTTATATTATAAAAAGTCACTACACACATTTTTTACACACATAATGAAATAATATAAATAAATATGATAAGTTAAAACTTAATAATTAGAATACACTATTCATATATAAAATATTAATTAATTTGTAAATATATATTCTTAATAATTTTAAAGTAATTTTTACCAATAAAATGTTTATTGAACATGCTTGCATTGCAACCATAGACATGATTTATAGAGAAAATTGTTTTTTTGATTTCTTTTTTTTTACAATTTAGTCAACTGTCAGCAAGAAAAATGTCTCCCGAGAAAAGAGAAAAGGGGGGAATATATATTCAACGAAAAATTTGCTTATGGAAAAACGATTTATTCAAAACCGAGAGTACAAAATTGATCTACCAAAGTTGTGATTGCTGAAGCGAAATCGCCAACGTTGCTGCCTTCTCTTTCAAACCCGGAAATTCAAGAATATTTTTGAAAATGTTACAGATTTACTTATAAACAGGTAAATATAGAAGTTTCTTATTTATTTCGTGCTGAATAAATAACGGATTATAACTGAGTATTTGTATTATGTGTAAATATGCAGTTATATGCATACGCACATAGATTCAAAGCTACAAGTACGGTAATAAATAAATATACCGGTATGTAATCGCTAAAATAAAACGATAAAATGAAAGTATGTTAAATTCAACAAGTCACTGAAATTTTTATCAGACAAAAAAAATTTCAGTGAGTTGTTGAATTTACTAACTAACGTAAAATTTTTCAACTCAATTAATATTTTATCGTATTATTCCAGCTTTCTTTTGTTGTATATTTACTGTATATAAAATTGCTCGCACATATTTAAAGATTATATATTTATCTCAAACTAAGGTATTGTACAGTAAGTTAACTATTATATAAATCTGTTGAGAGGAAACTCGGTCGAGTAATAAAAAGAAAAAGGCGACTAAAATATCGATCAGATTGACGTTACCAATTTAATTTTTTTCGCCAAAAAGCTCTATTAACTAAGTTAAAACGACAAAATGACCGGGGACATTTCTAATGGTCTGTAATGTCTGCAAATTACAACTCAGTTTGTTCTTCGCAACATAAAATTAATGCTTCAATTATATTTAATGAAATCTTTCAAAGTCGCTTTTTTTTTAAGTAATAGTCTAGTTTAACACCTATCCTTTCCATTTTGTTCTTCACAGTTTTAATGAAAATAAAAAATTCGATTGTAAATTTTTAAAAAGTGTACCTTAACATTCTTATAATTTCGTTTCATAATTCCTCACTTGAAAATTAAGAAAAAAAAAAAAATTGTTTTATCTAAATCATGCGTGAATGACCTTCAGTCCGAATTTCAATAATGGATGAAGTATAAATCAATAAATTTTCTGGGTGCTGAAACTTTTTCTGGGTCAGTAAAACTCTATTACAAGGAGAAAAAAGAGGAGGGAAACTAACAGCAGTTATTTTATCCTTTCTATTGGTCTACTATTTGAAAGTGAAATTATTTGTATTTGCTTTCACTTCATTTTTACAAATGTAAAGTGAAAGCTAATAATGTACTGCGCTACCGTAAGTATAATTTCGTTCAGTGCACGCAATAATTATTAACGAGATTTTTTTTTTCTTTTTATATCCTTTATTATATGGCATCAATTGTATTGTCAAACGTGATGACAAGAATTAATTACAGTTTACTGATCATTATCATGATTTATCTAAAATCGTTCTTTCCGTACTAAAATTATATTCTTTTATTTGCTTCGATAAAAATTATAAATGATAAATTCTATAAATAATTTATGAACGGTTATTTATAAAATCTTATCTTATTTTAATTCTGTACAAACAGAATTTTAACTTAAAATAGGTATCATNATGAAAGTATGTTAAATTCAACAAGTCACTGAAATTTTTATCAGACAAAAAAAATTTCAGTGAGTTGTTGAATTTACTAACTAACGTAAAATTTTTCAACTCAATTAATATTTTATCGTATTATTCCAGCTTTCTTTTGTTGTATATTTACTGTATATAATCGAAGCAAATATCGAAGCAAATATTACATTCGTAATATTTGCTTCGATAAAAATTATAAATGATAAATTCTATAAATAATTTATGAACGGTTATTTATAAAATCTTATCTTATTTTAATTCTGTACAAACAGAATTTTAACTTAAAATAGGTATCATAATTTTAAAGTTTATATTACAATATTAAATGTAAAGTGAAAGGAAATTTTAAAGTTTATATTACAATATTAAATGTAAAGTGAAAGGAAATTTTAAAGTTTATATTACAATATTAATTAAAATGGCAAATACATTTAGATAAATAACTTTTACTTTAACGACCTAATTATAATAATATTTAAAATTAAAAAATTATCATAAATATTACTTAATAAAATGCTAATATTTTTTGCTATTAAGTATTTTTTATATAATTTTATGTACAGTGTGTTTTATTTATTTTATACAAATGCTATTTGTTAAATTGTATTTTGCATTTTTTATTGACATTATTGACTATAACGCGTTGTAGACAAAAATACTTTTAATCAATTAATTTGTATTAGGACACACATATGTATGTAAAATAAGACGTACTCTAATTAGCGAGATTGTTTTTAAAGTTTAAGTCTTACTTGAAGAATTTGTCTTCAGATACAGTAAATGGTTAACTTAGAGTCGAGAAAACAAACCCTTAAAACTCTAAAGATGCTCCTTTTTTTTATTAAAGTATCATTTTACATCTTACCGTGTACAGCTAACGTTATGACAATGGAAATCGGATTTCCTACTCCATTATCCGCCTTACATTCGTACTGACCACTATCTTCTTCCTTGGCATCGATCAGATTCCAGTCTCCGTTATCAGTTATTTTGTATCTTGAATTCGTACTAATAACTTGAAAGTTTTTGCTAGCATNAAATTTCAGCATGACAACCTCTCTGTACACAGTTCAGACTACGTACAAAACAATGACTTAGAAGCAAAATGTTTCATGTTTGGACTAAACTGCCTTGATTCAGATTGACAACACAATAAAGAATGCTATTAGCATTGCAAAATTTAGTTTTGTCTGTAGAAATACTTTGTTTCAAGCCATGGCCAATCTATTAAAATGCAACTTTTGTTTCTGTATGTTTTAACAAGTATTTGGAATGTGTACATTTTATTATTTCTTTGATTTCTGTGTACCTTGTATCGTTGAACTGTGTACAATTTTATGTTAATATATTAGATTAGATTACTGTTATAAATAACAAAAGAGCATAATTATTTTTATATACAAAATGTTCTTAATATAAGAAAATCGTTTAAATTTATTCATAACCATAAACAGGATAAAATGACAGATTATCGACAGAAGGGAATCGAAGAAAATTTAGACTGAAATTGGATATCATATATAATGAAAATCAGCTATCCATCGTGATTGTTCTTACTGTTTTATACACATATTAATCTATTAACAAATTACGTTCAAAATTTTAAACTAAATTGATAAATTTTTAGGTAGGAATTTCCATTTTTATTTTATTCGAATAAAACTTTATGATCGTGTGAACTGTTTACGAAATGAAACCAATAAAGGCTACTTTTAAATTGAAAAATAAGCTAGCATAAAATTTTAAAACCCTATTTTTTATTCTTAAAAAATATTTTCCTATGTTTATAGATTCATTCTTGAAAAATTATACACCTAGATCTTAGAAATATATTTTATTAAAAATTGCGGATAAAAAAGAAGAGATGCTTTACTTCCTGTCAATTACAGGCTAATTGCTCTTCTACAAATATTAGAAAAGTTTACTCTTATTATTCTTGTCACTCGTTTAAATCGTTGGCCTCGAGAACATAATATAATCCATAACTGTCAATTTTGGTTCCGCACAAAGAGATCTACTCTTGATTGCATTTTGATTCCTAATACCTCAGATAATTTATCGTTCACAAAGTAACAAAACTCGCTTAAATTTTTTTGTATGTAATAAAAAAATTGATATTTAGTTTTCATTATTATAACTTAATATATTTCAAAGTGCTTTCATTAATATGCTTAACTCATAGAAAATTTATTGTATTTTATATTCGTACCGTTTATCTTAGACCAAACAATTCCTGGCTGAGGATAACCACTAGCTCTACAATTAATTTGTGTCGAGGAACCTATAAAAATTTCTTGATTTTGTGGTTTTATTATCCATTCAGGTGGAGCTATAAAAATTCAGTACTTAAATTTTACGATGTAAAAACACAAAAAGCACAAATTACATTTATTTTAAAATATAATTATGTAAATAAAATTACCTTTTACTAGAAGTGAAAGGGTAAATTCGTCAGATCCAAAGTTATTTTTTACTAGACATGTATAATTACCATTACTGTTATGAGTAAGAGGTTCTATCGATAGAAATGATACATCTTCGTATTGTCTGATTTGTATTTTGTCGTTTGTTTCGATATTTTTTCCATTTTTTAGCCAAGAGAATGCTAAAGGTGGTTCTCCAGATACAACTGAACAAGACATACTCGCCTTGTTTCCTATACTTAATCCATCAGGTAAAACAAAAGGTTGAATCTTCGGAGCTTCTGAAAAATATTTAATTAATGAAATATATGATATGCTAACAAACTATATTACATTTTCTAGATTTTAAAATATGTTTCTCTTACCTGAATTGCAAGTAATTTCTCTCATTAGAAGCACAATTAGAAATATGTCTATCCAGTTTACAGACATCATGTATTGATCTTTCTACGAAATAGTGAGCATCATAAAGATCGACAGAAGTTTGCTTAATTTCGAGGAGTGCAAATTAATGTACACACTAAGCAATCTTTGTTCTATTCATCCAAATAGTTGACTTTCATCCCAATCTTATTGACTGCTGGGAGAATAACCTGCATAGTAATGACCCCTCGTGGCGTTAATTTGAACTAAAATTGTATCAATTCATTGTTTTATCCCAATGAAAGAAATATCCTCTTTGAGAATTTCCATCTTTGTTTAATTTAATAGAAACTCAACCAAATTTAAATTTATAAAAAACAGAATTTAAACACGCGAATTTTTCATTTAAGTACAACGATGGTTACAGGAAGTTTAAATTAACAAAAACAAGCATGTAATGAGAATAGATAAATTTTAATTGCCATATTACGTGTAATAAAAGGTTGATTTGCAATTACTAGTCACTTTTACTTAATTATAATTAATTAACTTCCTACCATGCACAGAAATAGTCGCTACAGAATTTAGTTTTTCACCAACTCCATTGTCAGCTTCGCATTTATAATTACCGCTATCTTCAGGTGTAACATTTAAAATAGTTAAATTTCCGTAGTCAGTAACATAATATCTTATGTTAGTATCGATCGCGATCAGCTGGCCACTCGTATCTGAAAATACGATAAGATGTTATTACAATTGATAAAAAATAAAATAAAAAATAATTACTATATCGTGTTGAAGATAAGGCACGAATTAAGCAGGTACCTTTCTCCTTGAACCAAGTTATCTTCGGTAATGGATATCCATCTGCTAGGCAAATCATTTCAACTCTTGCACCAACGTAAACATCCTGATTTTTTGGTTTCGTCTTCCACTTAGCTGGAGCTAAATACATGTAATTAATTATCAAAAATATTTTAATTAAAATAAAATTTTATATAATAGAAAATAAGAAAAATTATTAGTGAATTATTAGTAACCTTTAACTGTTAGTGATGCAGTGAAACTATCAGATCCTAAATTGTTTTTCACTATACAACTGTAGTTTCCAGTATTAGATGGAGTAACTGGGTTTATTACTAAAATGGAAACGCCATTATATTGTCCAATTTCCAAATTAGAGCTATCTAAAATTTCTTTATTGTCTTTTATCCATTTAAAATCTAAAGGCATATTTCCAGTAATTACATTGCAGGAAACACTGATTTTCTGCCCAACGTTTACATTTTCGGGAAATATAAATGGTTGAATTTTTGGACTATCTAATAAAAAATATAATAAAATTATATATAATCATATACTACAAACATTGTTTTAATGTAAAAAAAAAAACAAAACTTAAACGATAAGTTAGCATTTTAAAAGCAGAATGATAACAAATTATTTGTATTTTCTATTGTAGCAAGAATAAATGCAATACGATTTGCTTACCTTGATCACAGAATATCCAGCTTGGGAATACAACGCTCAATACTATTCTTAAAATCCACATGTTCGTTAGTATTCTTCGAAATTTGACCAAGATGTCGTATAGACGATACGAATCAGTAAATCTTAAACTACTCAGGTGAAATGTATATTAAACTGTTTTTAAGACATGGAAGTCGACCAACACATCCTTTGTCAATAACTACTTATGGCGAATGTCTAATAGAGACAAGACGCCATCAAGCGACCGAAAATTAAACTAAAACAAATATAGCTCGAAAACTTGTATGTAGATATGCTTTATATTAAAACTTACTGAATACAGAAATTGTTACAGATTTACGAAGATCGTTTCCGATTCCGTTCGAAGCTTGACACTCGTATAATCCTTCATCAGATTTTCCTATTTTTAAGAGATTTAGTGTTCCATCTGCTGATATAATACTGTTACTGGAGGCAGAAACAGGTTTAAAATTTGTATCTGAAGAAGCTGAAATGTAGTTAGGAACATAATTTTATTTAAATTATTATTGGAAATTACGATATCAAGCAATTAAAAATTTAAATATATTCTTTGAAGTATTTTCGTATTTTCATGCAAACCTAACCTAACAAATAAGTCAAAATTGTTGTCTATTACTTACTTTCAGCCTTTTTCCAATTTATTGTTGGCGTTGGTATGCCTGTTACAGAACAGTGTAAACTAATGTTAGAACCCATCACGGACTGCACATTTTCGGGCTGGGTTATCCACTGTGGAGAAGCTATAAATTAAAAAAAATCATCTTGGAATACAATGTAAATAAGTCTATATATATCTAAATGGCTTTAAGAAAACTGCGAGCAAAAATCAGAAATGAGACAAACCTTTCACAATAAGAGCAGCTGTGTGTTTACTGGATTTTTCTTTAGAAGTGACAATACAGGTATAATTTCCGCTATCATCTGCTCTTACCGGATTAATTGTCAGAAGAGAAACATCAGAATAATACATCACTTTTATATATTCGTTATCAGTTATCAGTTTTCCATTTTTAAACCATTTAAAACTTATTTGTGTATCTTCGGTAACTGTCGTACAAGTTGCTGTTACTTTCTCATTTACCATCACATTTTCTCGGAAATTAAATGGAGAAACATTCAATTCCCCTAAATATCGATTTTAAAAAGAATATAGATCTTTGTTAGCATAAAAATAAAAATAAAGTTTTATAAATCCGAATAGAGAATTATCGAACAATATTCAGTTAATATAGACAATTTAATGTATTCGGAACTTACCTCCAAAAACAACGAAAATCTGTAGGCACACAACACTTATTAATAAACTCATCATCTTGTAGATTATATGTTTTCAAGAAAATCAAGTGTAATACGTCATTATAATGATAAGGAATTTCACTATATCGTACACGATTGTTTGTATGTTATGGCGATAACTCCCCAGAACAGCTTCACAAAGGAATATCCTCAAAACACTCTAGTGGCTGATAAACGAACTATTATCTACATTTTATTAATAATTTTAAGAAAACCTCAAAGTACTAATTAAGTAAAATGCTTTCAAAAATTTCTAATTTATTTAAGAACAATCAAGAGTATACACTTTAATGTTATCTACAGCTTACCATTAACTGTTACCTCAACAGTTTTTAATAGAGCTGTGCCTACATTATTATTAACTTGACATTGGTAATGCCCGGCATCGTCTTTACTAATTCCACACATAATTAAAGAACCATTTTGGTAAATTTGCGCTCGTTTATTGTCATTCATGGATGTAAACTCTTTACTCTGGCCTAAAAAAAAAATTAATTATTTCTTATCCTTTTATACACTGAGCTTTATAAAAACTATAGGTCTAGTCGTATCTATACGATCATTGAAAATTTTATATTTTAAATATTAATATTAAATTGCACAATTGTAAATGTAGTATGTAACTGTTTACTTACCAGTCGATTTCTTCCATGCAACTTCAGGCTTTGGCAATCCTTTTGCTAAACATATTAATTCAATGCATTTTCCCTCTGGTGTATGAATGTCTTTTGGTTGCGTTATCCACTCTGGTGGTGCTAATTATAATTTTACACTTAATTTCCGGATTTTATTTAACCATATTTAATATTCAGAAGTAAAAATGAAAATACTTTTACCTTTAACGATAAGATTAGCAATATAACTGTCTCTACCTAATGAATTTTCCACTATACAAGTATAATTTCCCATATTATCATGAGTAACTGATGTTATGGTTAAAACTGTATAATCTTCATTAAAATCTACAGAAACATTTGGTATATCCTTTATACCCCGACCATCTTTAATCCATTTAAATTTCAAAGGAGGAATGCCTGATTTGATACCACAAGTGGCTCTAACTCGTTCTCCTACTGATACAAATTCGGGAAATGTAACAGCTTGAAGTTTGGGTGCTCCTAGAATTAAGACATTGTTAGTTATTATTAAGATTAATTAAAATATTCAATCACTATTTTTATGTTTTCAAGATGTTTACCTTCTTCAGCTGCAGCAATTATGAACAGGGTCAACGATATAACTTCTAGAATAGTTCTCATCGTAGACTACCTCTATGAAAGTGATCATATAGAGCTAAAATTTGTGAATACTCAACAATATATTTCGTCTAGAACAAACTGAGCTTAATCTAAGAAGGAATTCGTCAGCGGAACAACACACGAAATGAATGTGAACTCAACATGGCGTTGTGAAACAAAGATTGAAAAGCTTAATATCAACGCATTAAACGCCATCTACGGGATCTTCTCGAAAACTTATTTAATCATAACAATTATGCCTTAGTATTTTGAAAAATCAATCTTAGTGAACATTTTATATGGTATCTTTATTAATAATAATCACAATTAGGGAAGAAATGTAACGTATAGTCAGAGTAAAACATATTAGACTAATCACATTATTCATATCCAAAATGAAAAAGTAAGAAAGAAACGAAATGAATTTAATCAGAAAATTTTTAATTAAAACTTTAATGTTTAAAATTGTTGATTATAAAGTAAATAAGGTTTACTTTATTGCATTTAAATGACACTCGAAGGAATCGAGTGTCATTTAAATGTTTTTAAAATGTTAGTAAGCTATTAAAGAACAACTATTAACTAATGGTTAACATATTTTTAATTAGCGCGCTTGATTATATTCTGTACAAAACATGAGTTACATATGTATATTACCAAACTTACAGAGAACTGATATTAAAATTTTCTTTTTAAGTATTTTTCCAACTCCGTTGCCGGCTTCACACTCATAATAACCTTCATCATCTTTTGTTGCTTGAGGAATTATTAAAATTCCATTTTTAACTAAATATTTCCTTTCTTCGATTTCGGTTCTAGTTTGGTCTAATAATTAAAAAAATATATATTTTTATTTATTTAATAAATTGTTTATAATTTAATTAAAAATGTATAAATATACCTTTATATTTAAACCATAAAACCGTTGGTTTAGGTCTACCAGAAGCCGCGCAGTTTACACTAATATTTTTACTCATTATTACTTCTGTATCAGTGGGTAAGTCTTTCCACTCGGGAGGCACTAAAATAATTTATGACTTTATTATATCTTATTAATTATAATAAATCATAAAAAGATCTAATTAATACCTTTAATATCTAAAAGTGCAGTAAAACTATTCCTTTGCTTTCCATCAGAAACAATACATGTATAATTGCCAGTATCTTCTTCGATAACAGGATGTATAACTATATTAGATACATCCGAAAAATATAATATTTTTATTCTTTCTCCTTCGACGATTTCTTTTCCATCTTTCAACCATCTAAACACCAAATTTCCATTACCAGTAGTAGTTGTGCATGTAGCAGTTACTTTCTCACCACCCATAACATTATCACGAAACTGAAAGGCTGGAATATGTAGTTCCTCTAAAATAAAGCAAAAATAATTTTTCTCTTACCTCGGAATTAAAAAAAAATGTATTTAGAGTTAATTAAGTTAATTACATGTCAGAACTTACCTGATGAAGTACTTGACAAAGTGAAAATGAAAAACACAGCGCTTGCATATAAAAATATGAAAGCCATTATTAAATAAAAAGTAAACTACTTTTTAAAAGGAATCGGAGAACATATAAGACGTCTTGATAGAATCCATTTCTTTATCGCTAAACTCGCAAATCGCTGAAATGGCGAACATACTCTGAATCACAAAGACACTAATGTTGAAAGTAAAGCGCCCTCTGCTCAAAATCTTTAAATACTCCTTTCCAAATTTTCTCGTTCAATGGTTTTAGTTTATGATATTCCACTTACCATTAATGATAATTTCTGCATTTTTCTGTAATGGAGGACCGATTCCGTTTGTTGCTTCACATATATAATTTCCACTATCTGCTTGATTAGCAGGACAAAGTAGAAGAGAACCATTTACAGCTATTTGCAACCGATGATTGTCAATGACTTTAACAAGAGATTCACTTCCTATTTATAAATATGAAAAATGTTACTACTGTGAACGAAAATAAAATTAATTGGAGTTTTAACAATAATTTCGATTCATTAATTTAAAATTCTTTCATGAATTTTCATACCTGTTCTTAATTTCCAAATTATTTCAGGTTGTGGAAGACCTTCAGCTCTGCATTCTACTTCTATACAACTTCCTTGAACTATTTTCAAATCTTTAGGATATTTTATCCATACAGGAGGAGCTAAACATTATCGTCGCACTTTATTCTTTATTCTTCTTCCATTCTTAAACCACAGAAATACTTAATTTTTTAAAGTACTCACCTTTTAGAAAGAGCTGAGCTGTAAAAGAATCTTTACCAAATTTATTTTCAACGAGACATGTATAATTTCCAGCATCATTTCTAGATGATGGCACTATCGTTAGAACAGAATAATCTGTTTGCATATCTATAGTCAAATTATCAGTGCTCAATAACATCTTTCCGTTTTTTAACCATTTATAATTTAATGGTTTCATTCCAGATTTTATACCACATATAACATTCACCCTATCGCCGAAAGTCACTGTTTCCGGAAATGTAAACGGCTGAAGTTTTGGTGGTTCTATTATATAAAATAATCGTTTAAGCCACGATATATTTTGTTCAAACGAGCGTTAAAATATTCTGTACACTCACCTCCCAAGATTACGATGAAAAATTCGATGGCCAAGATACATAAAGGATAGGTTATCACATACATTTTCAAATATAAATTAAGATAATCAGGAAATGAATTTTTATCCTTGAAGAAGTGAATAGAATCTTAATCTCTTCGTATAATTAATTTCAGAAGCTTCATAATTAGGTAATAATTATGAGCTATGTATTCTCAATGCAAAATGTAATTCACCCACTGTTAAGCGTACGATATGGCGGCAATGACAACAACGCGAAACAAAGCGCAAGAGCAACACTACATACAACTAGCGCCATCGTGTGAATTCCTTTTAAAGTTAAATTTTAATTTTGCCCTGAAATTCGAAAATTGAGTTTCCAGTATATGTTATAATATAATAATAAATTCAAAAAAACTTACTCAATACTGAAATAAATACTGTTTTCTTTAGAACTTCTCCCATGCCGTTAGAAACTTCACATGTATAACTACCTTGGTCATATTTTAAAGCTGATTTAATAGTAAGAGTGCCTTCGCTTATCAATAAATGTTGAGAATCAGACTGAAGAACGTTAAAGTTTCCTTTTGCATCTAGCGAAGCAATAATGAATTTTAAAACTGTAAGATTATTATTCAAGTATGAAAATATTTACCTGATATTTTCCATGTCACTGTAGGTCGCGGAACTCCAGAAGCTAAACAAGATATACTGACGCTTTCCTTAAGAATCACAGACGTATCTGAAGGTGAACTAATCCATTTTGGTGGTGCTGAAAATAATTAAGCAATATATGTATATTTATTCATTATCTATATAACAGTTTGAAAAAACAAAGTATATTTTAAAGGAGAATACTCATCACCTCTAACATTTAATGAGGCTGTGAAACTACTTTGTTCTTTTTCTGATTTCACAGTGCATGTATAATTCCCAGAATCGGTTTCTGCTACTGAACTGATCACAATAGTGGATAAATCCGAGTAAGTTAAAATTTTTATTCTGTTTTCACTCTTAATCTTATTTCCATCCTTAGTCCATTCAAAAATCAAATTGCTGCCACCTTGTTTAGTGATGCAGGTAGTTGTTGTTTGCTCGTTTACAAAAACAGCATTCGGAAAAGTAAAGTTTTGCACCGTCAATTCACCTGTATTTCAAAAAAAATAATGATTTCTTTTTAAAAATTACATATTATGTATAATACATAAAATGTAAATTAATATTATAACATGTCATAAATTCATTTCGAAATAATAAATCAATTACTAAACTCAGGCTTCGTGATTTAATTAAAAATAATACACGTGTTTATAGGAAGTTGTGTTTTACATCAAATTAATATCCATTAGAAATTAACACGAAGAAATTCTTGAATTTGGCCGGAAGAAAATTGTAAAATCGGATTCAAGGATTTCGGAGAAATATTTTTCTTTTGTATAGATAATTTCGAAAAAAATTATTATATATTTTTACTAGAATGCGATATACATAATTCTAAACTGCATTATAAAAATATCATACTGTTTTCAAATAAAAATATAAAAATTATATCCTTACTTGAAATCGTGGATAAGCCGCTTAAAAATGCGATAAAAATTGCACTTTGTTTTAATACCATTACGTTGTTTTCGATATTTTAAAATATTGGATCCAATCAAATACAAATATGTGAAGTTAGAATATTTTGTGAAATGAGATGTAAGAATTTAGTAATATAAAGTAACTCAAACGGAGACTGATATGTCAGCTAAACTTAACATTCTTTCTTATTAAATGGCGTCAGTAGACAATGAGCATACGAAATGCCCTCTAGTACACTAGTGTTGAACTTAGAAAATAAATATCGATATAAATAAAAAACGTTATTATTATGCCTAATGAAAATAATAGAAATTTATAAATTCTCGTAGTAATTATTAATAAAGCAAAACAGTATGCTGCTTCTGTTTTGTAAAATTATACAGTACACTGTTCCACGCTCAAGTATAGGTTTTACTTCCCCTTTCCGACAAGAGATTTTTCAACATCATCTCGCTTCACGGCGCAAAATGATAGATACTTGCACACAGCATATACTCAGATAAACCTACTTACGTAAAGAATTGGCACGTTTAAACATTCTTGTTAGACAACTAGCAATTATTTTAAGAAATAATAATTGATTTCAATATTTAAAATGCTAGTTTATTCTGATTATTTCATTACGCGGATTTCCACTGTTGCGTACAGCGTACACTTAAGTATCTGAATAATTCGATATTTATTAAGATTTTGTGCGCATTTAAAATGATTAATTTATGAAGTTTTAATGTAATTTTAAGCTTATTTAAAATGCTACTTTATTCTGATTATTTCATTACACGGATTTCCACTGCTGCGTACAGCGTACACTTAAGTATCTGAATAATTCGATATTTATTAAGATATTTTGTGAATTCATTATAATATTTTGAAGAATAACTATAAATTATTATTTTATGTTAAGTAGAAATGTATATAAACTTTTATATATATTTATATTAATAAAACTGCTTTCAAAAATGACAAAAATGTTTTTAATTAACTAGCATTTTAAATATTGAANTGTGAATACTTGCGAATATTTTATAAATTAATACTAACTAAATAAACTTTTTGTTCTAGATCAGTGTTTCTCAACGGGGGCGATATCGCCCCCATGTGGACGTTTTTCCATGTTGAGGGGGCGATTAATAACAATTTATATTTTGGGGGGCGAAAAACAATTTTCTGGGCGATATAGTAAAACATTATATTAAGAATAATTAGATATTTTATTCGTTACATCGTACAATAATTAAACAAATAACATTATACCAGTCACTAGTCTATTCAATGCAGTACGAATTTGGCTCGCAGCATCGGAATTTTGAAGTGAAGGAAGGGGTCGATACTACGTTGAAGGGGCAACGATTCGTTAGAGGTTGAGAAACACTGTTTTAGATGAAGAAAATTATTCTAATTCGATTTAATTAATTAAACAGTACTATTATAATTCTGTAATAATTGTAAAGTTAAGCAAATACAGTCTGAAAAACTGTTAATTACATACGAAAAAAAACGTTTTTATCTGTAACCTGAAAAAAAATTTTTTTAAATGTTATATTATATGCCAGCACTGTTTTGAACTCGGTCATCATATTAAACATTTTGTTCTTTATCAGTGATGTAAGTTAGCTTTACTGTAATTATTCCTTGTATTGTTGAGAAGCCGTTAATTTGTTTCATTTGTTATAAATATATAGGATTAAATTTTTATACGTGATTGAACCGATATGAAATTGTTGTTGCTATATTTGGATTTATTACACAAATAGAAAACAATCATCGTATTAGTAGATATATAATTTAATATTAAATGGCTTAATTATGCAGTTGTAAAAGATTTTTATTCTCTTATGATTTACACTATATATATTGTTTTATTGAGTGGTTTTGATATTATTTCATTTCTTACATTTGTGTAAATTCTTACAAACTTCTAATAAGCATAAATAAACAAAATATTCTTATATTAACAAGTTTGAAGCTAATCTAAATAAAAACTAATTGAATATTTTAAATTATAACTATGTACAATATTAATGTTCTTACGGATCTGATTACGGAAATTTCAAGTAACTAGTTAAATTTAATCAGTCTTCCATAAAAAAATAATCAAAAGTTATTCATACTAATAAATGTATTGAAGAAACATGATACAGTAATTCTTTGATTTCTCATCAAAGGTGTTTTTGCTCTTATATAGTTATGTTCAAAAGATTTTTGCCTCTTTATTCATTTCATTTTTTTCTTTTAAGATATAAATTTGCGTGAATGTACACGTGCCTACAATAAAATAATATATTTTCCTAATGAATGATATAAAATCGCAATTTGAATGACTGTAAATGTATATTTTATTATTTTTTTTTAATTTTATTATTTTTGCAGAGAAAAAAATTCATTATATTAGGATAAAAGTTCATTACGTAAACGATCTGTATATTAGCATATACAGATCATTTACGTAAACGTAATCAAATAATAATCATAATACACTAAATATTGCTTATAACGTAAATTATTACATATTCAAATACTATCAATACTATATATCACAAATACAACGTCATATTCATTGATAAACAAAATGAAATCACATACATCATGGACATATCCATTCTAAACACCCGCGATATATAAAATATCTATACAGTACTTTTAAAATCAATAAATGCACAGAACTTGCCTAAGAAGTAAAGCCCCTGTGAAAAATGGATAAAGAACTTATTGTGCTGTTATCCTTTTTTCCATGGATGTCATATCATATAATTATACTTCACAAGATCATTAGATTTTAATAACAGCATTTATATCTTACTAACAGTAAGAGAAAATAGCATAAAAGACAGATGTGTCTTTGAATAGTGACGAATGAATTATTTGAATATGTTTAAACTTAATATTACTCTATATTGTTTTATAATATATTTCTCTAATTATTGCCCGGCTACCAAAAATATTAGAAAAGCGTCTGACTTGCTTGTAATATAGAATATATAGCTTAAAATACGTGTGATATATAGTATCCACTTTATTTTATTTAATTCTTTAAATGACAAAATACAATTTCTGAAATTTTGCTGTTTTTGCAGGTTCCTTTTTTTATATTTAAACTACACCAGATAAAATGTCACACAATCTATAAATGCTCAAGTTTTATATGAAATCGGTTGCATACATAAAAAAGATTATTCCCAGTTTAATATAAAGTGATTCAAACTGAAGATGGGAGCATTCAAATGCAAGAATTAAGAACTATTCACTCGGAAAAAGTTTTTGTTGTTTCCGAAAACTTGTGCGAGTTACTCTATTATAATACTAATAATTCTGAAAAAATGCGGTCCTTGCGAGAGTCTGAGCTGTTAAGGGCCGCATTTCAGAATTAGTACATAAGACAGCGAACTTGCCAATTTGCGATTTCGAATACTAAAACGTCTTGTCAGCTGTCGGAAATTACAATACAATTATCCAATCAGATTTGATAGATTGTGCTGGTTTTCGCAAATTGGACTACTTTAAACGACTTAACGCTTCCAAAATTTTTTATTGGACTATTTGCGACTTTTGGCTACTTCTAAACTCTACAATAACGTCGCTAGTGTTATTTCTTTTATTTGATTTTTTCGCTGTATTAGAAATCAATCGATTGTATTGAAGAACATTTTCAATATGGAGTGAAACCTGCTAATGTGAACACCAAACAGACCACCTCAAAGTAGTCACCATAGGCAGAAAGAAGGATGTAGGTATTCTTGAATGAAATCACTTAAGTGGAAATAAGCAAAAAGGCTGATAATATGAAATACAAAAAAAATTACTAAATAATTGATTACACAGTGTTGTAAACAAAAACAGAAGAGAAACAATGCAACAAATTCAGTTTTTGTGAGAAACTCATCAATCCTGGATTGCTATAGAATTTTGTTTATAAAAATTTTCATCAAGTATAATTTTATTTATTTGATATATAGACATAAGAACCTCAGGACAACTAGTAGTCTCATAGCGAGAGACTATTTTCTCCAGAATATCGTAAACTTCCTTGTGGGATAAAGCCAAGGGCTTCTCTTCTTCGTTATGATACAGGCTTCCTTTTCCGCTATTTTTATCCTTTCTTGCAATGAACACTTTTCGGACCCTTCCAAAAACACTTTCTGAATGAATAGGTTCGGTGTTCACGATATCACGTTCACAGTCAACAACTTCGTCTGTGTTTTCTAATTCGGGAATCAAGACAGTAATATCTGCAGTAGGGTTTTCCTTTTGGATTTCGTCGTTCTTTTCTTTACGGAATTCCACGCATTTGATATCCAAAAGATCGCATCGATAACTCTTTGGTCCAAAGGCTGTAGAATTGACGTTGAGTTTGGAGGCAGAAATTTTAGTTATAGTACGACCATTTTTTCACAGGACAATTGTTAATTAAGGCAGTTGTCTACAATCAAAATTAATGTTCCGATTTTGTTTCCTCATTAAGGTGTTAACATCACTGAACTCACTCACTATCTCGATTAACTTGTTAATCGGGATAGCGAGTTATTGAAAAAGAAAGAAAATGAATCTAACCTTCGAATTAAAAATTCCCACACAAAGAAACTTAACAATAAGCAAAGAACGCGTAGCTCACTTTACTAGAGGGACAAGGGAAACCTCGATGGTGACTCGACATTGATCGCTATCATAACGGAAATTTTTAAATTTTCTGCCAAAACTGTTTCTAAAAATTGCACATTATTGGCGCGTCGCTAGTGTTATTTTCAATTTATGATACAGATTACTTTAAAATTTTCAAACTGCCATTTCTTTTATTCAAGCTTCCAAAATATGATTTCAAAAGATTATAGGAAATTTGATTTAACCCTATCTACGAAAAGTCAATGGTTTCAATGGTATATTTCATATTTGCGAAGTGATCGTTACAAATTCTTTAAAATGATTTGTTTTATGTTTTTTTAATGGTCACTTTACCCAAGATGATTTCTTATCTTGGGACATGACCGGTCAATAGTCAAATTAGACAGGTAGTCACTGTACGCAGATACATCCCTGTTGCAAAATGTATTATTTTGCAACGGGACCTGCTAAAGTGCTTAATTAACTTAAGGTTGTTTCACCACAGCAATATTATATAATTATGTGTGAAGCGTGGACTCGATGCGTTTATATTTCGCGTTAAAATGATGCTGAAAGTAAAAGGCATTTATTGTTTTATATTTGAGTCTTCATCATTGATGTTAAATGTATTGACAAATGAGGAATCATTAAACGAGGATACATTGACAAAAGGTATCAAAGAACAAATCTGAAGACAAAGATAAACTTGAAAAAGAATTATTAAAATATATCCTACCGCGAGCCATGTTATCCGGGTTGGTTTTATTTGTTTAAAGCAAACTCGACACCTGAACAATCTAACCAAGGAGAATGCCTCCCGGGAGGTTTTTATGGGGAACTGGCTTCTATTTAAGTATTACAAACGTGAGGAAAACCCAGAAAACTCCACGTGGCCAGCCCATTGAAAAGGCACGAACCGAATTTTCGGTTATCCGATGTAGCGTCAGTCTAAATTACCTCGGATAATCAGAGTTCAACTGTCAGAATAATTTTGTGATCTGACTTATCGAGGAATCTTATACTCTAATTAATCGTTTACTTCAATCTCTGTAATTATCAATATGTTCTTGAATCCTCGGTAATAGTTCTTTACTAACTTCTCCAAACGAGGCAAATTAGCAGTGCTGTGTTACCTTATTTTTGTTGTTTTACGAATAATATTCGTTGCTTGTTCTCGAGAACTCGATTCTCGAAAAATCATTCGATTTTGAAAGTGTTGGATTCTGCTCCTAGTTAATTCCAATAAAGACCTTGTGTCCACATTGTCATGAGTATGCGGTTTCAGTTCAAAATTCGGTCTTTACATACGTACCTACGTACTGTACATATGTATGCGGAAATTTTCCGTCTTTTTTTTGTACTTTTTAGGCTCAGGATATCAAAACGAGCCCAAAAAAATCGGGGTTGAGATTTGCAAAAACTCTGACCCTCGTATTCACCAACACGAGTTAGAGTTAGAGTTAGGGTTAACTCTCGAGTTACTGGTAAATTGGTATTCACCAACTCCGAATCTCGAGTCAAACACAATAACCCTAACTCTAACTCTANAAAATCGGGGTTGAGATTTGCAAAAACTCTGACCCTCGTATTCACCAACACGAGTTAGAGTTAGAGTTAGGGTTAACTCTCGAGTTACTGGTAAATTGGTATTCACCAACTCCGAATCTCGAGTCAAACACAATAACCCTAACTCTAACTCTAACTCTAGGGGTGCATATACTTTTGGGATCAAACTGATCCAAGATCACTTCGATCGTACAAATCGTGTATACAAACGAACTACTGTGATCCGATCGATCTCTATTTACGTATACAAACACCATCTAGGATCAATTGGATCTCGATCAAACTAATCCTAGCGGAAGGTAGGATCGTTTGGATCGGATAAAAGAGATTAAAGATGGCGGCTTCCATGGTCGAAGTTAAGCTGACAGTGCATTTCTTCCTTTTCCTATTTCTTTTGATTGTAATAAAATGGGAACAAGATCCTTCAGTAAATTTTCGAAAGTAAGTCGACTTACTCGAAAGTGTTCTTTAAAAACATTTGGCCTATATTCTAATGCAACCTCTGAAACATAGTTAGTTATTTTGCATACCGATTTCTTTTTTTTCTTTCTTTTATATTGTGTTAAATAATTAACCAAAATTAATTCTTCTTCCTCGGATTCTGAATCTAATTCCGATAATATTTCTAAAATGATTCCTAAACTTGCCGCCATCTTCGATCCTACTCGTATACTTTCCGCCATGACAGAAGCTATCTGTATCACGTGACAAGGACTGATCCGATTTTACAGATCGATCTATACAAAACGAAAAGTATATGCACCCTAGGAAATCGGCGAGTAGACGATAACTCTAGGTTTGACGCCTGCGCAAAGCGGTCTATTTCAGAGAAAAATGGCGACATTCGACGAAGACGAAGCCGAGATGCTAGAAAATCTGAAATATTTAGATTATATAGATCGTATGGAACGAAGAAGTCGGCGGATTATTTCTCCAAGAAGAAATGACCTCGAACAATTGGACGATTACGACTTTCTATGTCGATATCGTTTGCCAAAAGAGAGCGTAAGAAACCTATTAGAACGAATTGGTTTCCTCCTCCTGTTTTAAATAATTCGGCTTTTTTTGTGCCTGTTCTTTCACGGCTTTCTCTTTTAAATTCTTATAACAGTCCAATAACTGTTTGGTTTTTCTAAGGGTGTCACCCGGGATACCATTGAATTCCTTTGTTAGTTCTTCCTATGTGCCTCTCTTGTTTGGAAGAAATCGCATTTGTTTTCTTGTTTTCAATGATCGATTTATATTTTTCGACTAATTCAAGTAGAATTTCCTTCTCAAAATTAGAAAAATTACGGCGTGCACTGCTTTCCATTTCACTTTCCGCCATTTTCTACACGTGTTTCTATTCTATTCTATTCGTCTCCTCCCTGGTTCATACACGTGTTTGCTTTCAACCAATCAAAACTCTGCTTACGAAAGAAGACTTGTTTAATCTCGAACGCAGGATTGTTTTAAAATATTAACTCTAGAGTAGCGAAACTCTAGAGTTAAATTTTTATCTGAATACGAAAGAAGAGTAACTCGTAATCTGACTTCGAGTTACATCTAAACTCGAGTTCGTCAACTCTCTGTTTAACTCGTGTTGGTGAATACGGGGGTGAATGGTCGAATTTGACACGATTTCAATACTTTTCCGTGTTATAACATAACAGCTGGGAAAGTAAAATGCAAGATATTTCCCAGAATTTTTCACACAATTCATGTAAGGAATGACTAAGTGCTATGATATCGCACATGCAGTACTTTCATTCAGTGATCCACTACTGCTGTAGCAATGTCTTCTATTTTCAGATGTCCAGTCGGTTTGCAAACTTCGTCTTGGTTTCACGGTGAAAATTTCAGTTTCCTAAAACTCTAAATTAATTTCCTAATAGTCGGAATACATCTTTGAAAACCTCTTAAGTGCCAAGCTGGCATTGCTGTTTCGTTGATAGAATTTAAAACGTAACACACGACTATGCAGAGTGTGCACCGTGACATCAATCAGTTGAAGAACAGTAAAGAACGTTTTCAGCCTCCTTTTACATCCTGAAATTTATTAGGAAACTTACATAATATGCACATTGAGGCAGCAATGCAAATTTTTCTCTCGCGTATGAATTCTGAAGTAATACTTTTTCCGAAAATTTAAACTACATACGCAGAACAATTTAGTATACATACTACATAAGTGACCAAGTGGGTAAAAACCATTGAACACTGATAGTTAGTCGCGGATTCTCACTTCACCAACGGGCTGGCGACATAGATTTTTTCCGGGTTTCTTCATGTGACTAAAACTCTAAAGCCTAAATAGGGGCCACTTTCCCACTCGGGAGGACATTCAGTGACATTTTTGCGTTGCCTTATGCTATTAATCCAACAATCTTAAATACTGCGTAGTGTGGATAACAGATTTTGTTGAAATATGCCCAATTAGATCTTTTTGCAGAAAGCTTTGAACACCTGCTCTTTAGTTATGGTCATGCTGTACGTATCAAGAAATTTGTATTTTAAGTATCCAATAACTGCATTTCAATTTCACTAAGCAGACGCTAGACTTGCAAAATCTTCATTTTATTTCAACATCCTTTTGTACCTTGGCAAAATTCCAGGCAAAATGCATTTCGGGTTCTAAAAAATAATCCCGCTTCAGTTGCCTATAAATTATTATAAGTTTATTCAGTTGTATCAACTGAATAAACTTATAATAATTACAGTAAACAATATCAATGGCATGCCTTTTGACTCTGTAATGCCCACTTTAACGGATAACTTCGCAACAATACTTCTACGTACTGTACAATGTGTTAAAACCACGGAATTCAGAATTATTTATAATCCTTATTTATATCCGCCCTGTGGGCACTGAGATTTTTTTAACAAGCCCATAATGGATTCGGTCAGGCCCACAATGGGACGGCCGAGTGGTGAGAATCGGAGCTCGACATATCCAGACGGATCACTCTTGAAAAATTGCTGGGGCCGCTCGGATTTGATCTCGGGTCCCCCAGAGCGGTAGGCTGATGCCTTCCTGCCTTAACCTATTCGGCAATCCGTATCATCGTAGAGTGTATGTAAAAAATACAAATTGAATGATACTGTGCACTCGCTAATCCGATCTGTGCTTAATCTAAACCAATATTTCTTCTGCTGAATATTCAGGCAAAAAACAAAAAATTAATTGCAGAGTACTTTTTAAAAACATATATTAATTTTATAAATCGATGTATTACACAATTTAACATAATCATTAGTGTTGTAACGAATAGTATATTCGGCCAGGAGCGTGGCCGAATAGCCGAATATTCGGCCAAACTATTCGGCTTGATTAACGCACGTACGAAAATTGGCGCGCAAACTGCATTATGGCAAGGATCCTGCTCTCTATTGGCCCGCTGTCATTACGCTTCGCCAATCGCGTTAATTCTTGACAGTTGTAGCGGACAGACAAGAGTGTCATGGAAGTATGTGATAAATGATGATATCAAATGTGGATAACAATGAAATGATCTACACGTGTAAATAACGGAAAAAGAACAGAGAAGGACCGCGAAGTGAAAATGTGAAAATAAATATGAAATTCAGTTGATAACATAATCGAATAAGTCGAGGCAGCTTATTGGCACGAAATTCGCGGCCGTCAATGCCAAACAATTGTTGTCATAGACTTCGGAAAGCTAAATGCTTGTAATAAAAGTAACTTAGCGTGCACGGGCGAAAGTCTGGGGCCGTTCGGGCTATCAAGCTGTCTCGAATCTGTGAAATCATAACTGTGACTTATATCGACGTGCTATCTGTCTCTTTTCTCCGTTATCACCAAGCTGAGTCACATAATTGTAAAATGGGAACTCTACGACGGAAAAATGACGAATCGAAAGTATCGTGAGCACGTATTATGATGTATGCACAGGCTTACATGGATTACAGCGATAGAGGAAAGAGAAAGGGAAGAGCAAAGACGAGCACTTAAAAAGAAGGATAGGCAGGATCAGACCCTCAGATGTGCGAGGATTCTCCAACGATAGACGTGTACGTGTGCTGATCTTTGTAATTATAAATTGTGAATACATGTGACTAATATTATTTTCTTTTTTATTTTGTGCATGTTACAAGTTATAAATAAATATAAACAAACAACACTAACTCGATAACATTAAATCTAAATACCAGAATGATTAATTTACTGTGTTTTTGTTATTTATTACTCGTGTTTTTAGGTATTCAGTATTCGGCCGAATAGTGAAAAATAGGCCGAATACCGAATAGTAACCGAATATTCGTTACATCACTAAATTAATCATACGTATCATTTTCAATAAAAAATATGTATTTTTTAAATAATGAGAATGCACTCTCTATAAAAAGATATGAAACAAGTATGCTGGATAGCCGGGGACGTAGAACACAAGACTGCCGCTGTAAAAATCCTCAAAAATATTTGAGTGCTTTGACAGAGATGTTGGTCTCGTTCCTTGTTCCACTTTTGCCATCTTCATCGTAGATCTGCTCGAATCTGCAATGACACAAAAATTGTTTCCTTTTCGTATTGTAAAGTTTGACACTCCCGTTTGTCCGTGCGCTAAAGACCCGACCTCTAATTTCAGAGAGGATCGGCGAGACGTCTGGATAATTAAGACATTAAAACCATTATCTTCTCGCTTTGAAATTATTTCGATCGATTCAAAATTTTCCCATATGTGTTAATCTTGATATATTACACCCCATTCCTCAACTTTTTTTAATGTTATAACTGAAATATCTAAATTCAAAACGAATTTTAAGTTTGCTTTCTTTGTGCTATTTTCGTATCATTTTATTCAAACTGAATTAATTTTACTAAAGTGTTGATTCTACTGCAAGTCTCCAGCAGCAGCGGCAAGCAACGATGACCAACGTTTATCCCTACAGGTGATACAGAACCCTATTCCGCCGAAAAACACGGCATTTGCCGATATGCAGAACCAATTAGAATATATCAGCCAATTAGACTGATTGTTGTGCTTTTGAGCGTGAAGAAAATTCTACTATTCTGACGTTAGGCATCATTCTACTGGCTATCGACAGCAGCAAATATTCGACACCTCGGAATTTTTTTCTGTGCGGTGCGACTAGCGGCTAGAGTTTGTTTGTGGAATTGTTTTTTCAATAGTAACTGCCGCTAGAAACTTGCAAGTGGATCAAGCCTTTAAAAATTTAAGCTAATTTCTGAGAATAGTGAAATTTAATTTTCCATTGGAAACAACTTTATGATGTAAAATGAACATGTAAATATTTAAATATCTTTAAAACAGCCGGCATGTAATTCGCTCGATAAAATATTGTAGCAAAATTTATTTTTAATGCAATCCGGCATTGATCACCAGATCGCACAATTCAAATTCGTTTTGAAAGTGTAAACCAGGCATGGCCAACATACAGCCCGCGGGCCGGATATGGCCCGTATAATGGATTTATGTGGCCCGCGATTAATCTTTCAATATTAGCTACTCAAGTCAGAATAGATTGATGAAAGTTCTAACGCCTAAAAAAAGGTCAACAACTCGCTGTCCGGTTAGAGTTAACCCTCCATTACAAATCTCTTAAGTACAGCGTAGAACGTTGATAAAGCATGATAATGTGAAAAATGTATCTATAATCTCTATACACAATTTAGTCTCTACGGAGTGACACCACAATGAGATCTCATACCACCTCAAAATCTTCCTAGGGCGACCTCTGATTCGGCCCGTGAAAAAAGTTTTCTTTTCAATTCGGCCCGGGAGCAAAACTGTTGGCCACCCCTGGAGTAAACGAATTGGTTTATATTTCGCGCAATTAATTATATAATAGAAATATTTACCGTTAAATATACCGTACTTTAACAGTAAATTGTATGTTCCTAATTCCGAATATTATGATCAGTTCTTTTCCTTTTAAAATTTATTAATTAATTATACAGTATTTCCAATTTCAATAACTGTGAACACAATGTTTTTTTAAACCAGAATTTTTTTAACTCAAAAATTCAGTCCAGTATTGAAAAAATAATTCTGAGTTGTGACACTAGATGGTGCGATGTGTAATAATGAATATTTTAATTTAGGAGCATTTTTGATTTTTTTTTTAATTTATTGTTTTTATTTTTAATTAACATGACCTTCTAATTCATTTTTATAAATATGTACTGTATTTTTTTTTCTAAAATAAAAGTTACCTAAATTGGATATGTTATACTTAAATGTTAATTTAAAATAAACTTTTAACTGTAAATAGACAGAAATTTGTTTTTATAACATATAGAAATTACAGAAATTTCTATTACTTTAAATAGGACAAAGCAGACTAAATTAATGCGACACAACAAACGTCTTTTTATGGCTTTTGGGTGTGTTAGTGATATTCCCGTGTTTTGAAATCCATTCTATTTGCAATAAATGTATAGTTTTCATCGGTATAATCGAGCTAAATTTCCGAAAATTGAATAATTGCGAGCACCATCCCAACAAAACTTGGTCTTGATCGAGGAGAATGTCTTTTCGTACGTTTTATTGATTGTAACCGAGGAAAGCCCATTCTCGTCTAGGGGTGGTACCAGTCGCTTTGTAACACCGCTTCCGGTCGGAGAACCGAGACAGCTGGAAGCATTTAAATGCCCGTCATCTGTAGTGCAGCTGTCCGATCGCAGTTTTGTACGGCATTTTAACTAAACGAAATGTCTTTAATACGATCTTCGAATTAAAACAAATACTATTACTGACACATTAATTTATTTACATAAGAAAATGTATAATTTCATTGTCGTTGACAAAAAAGTCAATTACACAATCGAAGAACATGATTTATCAGGGACTGTCGATAATTTAATTGCGTTTATTTAAAAATTTTATAATTTGTATATATCGTTGTAGGAAAAAAAAAAAATGTATATAGTAAAAGTGAGTTCCAAATATCAATGCTGAATACGTATCATCGATATTCAAATTTCAATTTTTTTATTATTTTTTTGCCTTTTTTTTATCGTGCTTTATCGATGGTCCCTCATATATAGCTAGAGAGAATAAAAAATTTTAAACGCCTACCGCACTGCACTTCACATAATTTAATGACTTGATACTATGAGCAATTCTATAGAGGTTACAATGTTAAGTCTCTGAATGATGCTATTCTGCTGTATCGTAGAACCGGGAATTTCCCTTTTTCGGTAGACACACAGGTTTGGGATAAGGAAGTGGTCTGTCTTTCATATTCTGTGGGAGAAAATGTATGTTAGCGTCTTCTTTCCATTATATATTATATAAACGACATATAGAAGAAGTACAGATTTTATTTTTATAACAAAAACCTTTAATATAATCCTACAGTGTACATTTTTAATCTAAATAACGTTCATAAACTCTCTTTCCTGCACATTATAAATTTAATGTACAGAAAATAATGATATAGATTTTTTTCTGTCTTTCTCAACTGTTTATCACAGATAATAGAAAAGAGTGCATGTTGGTGCAACAATAACAACTTTGAAACGAGTATTAATTCTATAATTCCAATCATAACAATTTCATTTACTTATCTTATCCAAACGATTCAATCTCAGAAGAGAAAAAAATAGAAAAACTGTCAAATATATACCTACTACCACACTACAGTATACTAAAATAAATGTGGCAACACACACCGGAGGGAAAAATGTTTTCATTTCCTGAGTGGAATCTTGTCCTTGGCTGGAAGGTATTGTGGCGTAAGATGCCACGCTTGGAGCTCCTGTTCCCACATCTGAATGATTGGCCGGTCTTGTTTTGTTTATATCTATGTAACGTTGAGAAGAACCAGTATAAGTAGATGGTTTGGCACCTTGAAGGGCTAAAAATGTAACATTTATCTTAATAAAATAAAATTCATTATCACTTGGTTAGATTTAAATAGTAGTACCTTTTTCTAGATTCCTTCTCGCTCTGGATTTTCGAAGGTATATGGCAATTACTATAATGATAACAATAAAGGCGAGAAGTGATGCAGCTACTGGAATAATTATGGAGAGATCAAGGTAAAATGGTACCCCTCCTCCAAAACCTTAAATTTTATAAGAAATTTATGTTAACACAATACTTTAGAAATAAATAAAACATACATTTTAAAAGTCATTAAAAATGTACAGTATTAAAATATGCATTTAATTAATAACTGTAGATATTAATTAAATATATAATGAAATTATTAAAACTATAATAAGATACATTAAAATGACTGAATTAATATAAACAAATCTAGAGAGAAAAAGTAATTATTTCTCTAGTTTATTTGTGATTATATGTATAATATAACTTAGGGCCATAGGAAGGAGAGAAAGTGGACCAGCCCAAAATTGGAAAGCAGTTTCCAATATTGGCCATGGTTTTCTAGTTTCTTTATAAAGATTTCATTTTCAATACTTATCTAGTTATTTCTACATCTTTCTGTGTAAATATATATATGCAGGGGGAGGGGGAATCAATATCTTGTGAAAAATTCTATTTGTTTGGTTTGACAGTGTTGCATAGTAGCTGCTAACTTGAAATTAGAATGGTATTCACAATGTTGACAGGAAAAAATGGTACAGCCATGGCTGGATCTGTTCCTATGGCTTGTACAGTACAAGTAATTATATAAATGGCAGTTTAACTTTTATCTGGAATTTCACTAATGGCAATGGAGCTATATGTGTTACAAAAAAAAATATAAATTAGACTAATGTTTTTTTCTCTAGGTACTTCACCACAATTTTGGTTTGGATATTTAGAATTTTTATCAATAAAATTAAATAAATTTCCATTTTAATAATTTATAATTCTAATTATATAAATACATAAATACCTAATGTGGATGTTTTTATTTTTAGTACATCTCCAGCTTCACCATTTCCATATTGATTGCTTGCTGTTATATAAACATCATAGGTAGTTCCACGATCTAATCCAGTCACTGTAAAATGATTTTGGGAATTTGCAATAATAGGTATGTGATACCATTCACCTCCAGTTTTCTTGTAGTGTATTGTGTATCCTATAAAAATAAATGTACATATATATTTTTTAAATATTACACAACTTAAAATAAAATTTAACTAAACTTCAAACCTGAGACAGGGATATTTGTATTTGGAGTCAATCCCCATTTCACACTAATTGCAGAATCTGATGCACTATGTAAAGCCAAAGGTGGTGGAAATGGAAGATCTAAATAAATATAATATAAATTTTTCATCTTATGCAAAATATTGTATGCATAACAATTTATGTATGAGGACAGCCAGATGACTGAGACAGTAAAGATGACAGTTTGCCACTCAAGACGGTCTTAAGTTCAAGTGTGGGCCAGAAACATTAGTAATTTTTCTTTAGTAGTCTCTTTCAGATATATTACAGGCCCTATCTCTCACAATCTGGCTGTCCCCATTCAGAGTCTGGCCAAACAAGCAATGGAGAGTAAAAAGTATTTTGCATGTGCTTACCTCCATCTAAAGTTTTAGCTGTTAATTCTTGTGAGGGAGGACCTGTTCCAGCACTGTTATATGCCTTTACTATGACATTATATTTGGTAGATTTCATTAGATTGGTAAGAGTATATTCATGAGTATCATTTGTAACATTATAAACAGTTTTGTATGAATATGGGAGTGATGGATCATCTATTTTATATCCTATAAAGTAACCTTTCAATTCTCCATTCCAGTATTCTCTTGGAGGAGGCTGAAATTTATAAAGTTTTAAAAAATTAAATAATTTCTACAGAAAACAATTCTTAATTTCTCATAACATTATATATAAAGTATCTCTGCCAGTCTTAGAACAACTGTTATATTACAGTAGAGTGTCAATTATATGATCATACTTGTTAGGACACAGAAAATAAAGTATAAATATTAATCCTTTTAAATAGAAATTTAATGTATTAGCAAACTGTGACTAATTAATCCTGCTTCTCTATTTGTACTGTAATAAATAAAACTTAACGCTAGTGTTGGTAATGACATAGCTCAATAATAGAGCTAAAGGAGATCACCAACAATCATTATTACATAAAGTCTTTGTAATTTCTGGAATTAATACACTTTGAAGCTTATTTTGTATAATTAACACTACTGTATAAACTAAATTACTACACTTTCTAATAGTTATTTTTTTAGTTCCTTTGAGTTCTTAGAGATGATTTATTATGATTTAATTGCTATCTGACTTCTATAATTATGAATACACAAGATTAAAAGTAAATAAAATTAAAACTGCATTTAAAAATAAACAAACATGTGACTAAGTGATACATTTTTACTTCTATTTACAAGAATTATAATGATAAACTTAATAACTTTTTATGTAAGCAAAAATAAAAAAATACATACATGCACATACTATATATATATATACACTTACACACACAAAAAAAAAACTGATTCGTCTTGCTCTAACTATTCTGGTGAGCAGAAAGTGACAAATAAATATTGTTTAATTGCTCAGAAATGTTTTTGGCTTTTTGAAGCCATCTTCAGTTAATTATTCTAAACTAGAATAAATTTTTAAAATACTTTTTAGCTGCCTTAAATAAGCAGTATATAGTGCTCACAGTATAACATATCAAAACATATTAAGTTTAAAGCTTTACTAACTCATTGTTGGTTACAGGTTTTTAATTATAATTAGACAATTTGAAATAAGTTTAATAAACTCTGAAGCAAGATATGATCTCATTCAGTTCAATATATTTATATGATGTCAACTGACGAATTGGACCTTTTAATATCAATAAATAATGTAGAAAAGTATAGTATTCTGAGAAAATATTCAACATTGACTATTATACTGAATATAACTTAATATAAACCAAATACATTTCTTTAACTGTAAGAAAAGAGAGAGAGATTTAAAGACTATCATATTTAATCAATCACAAATAACATACGTTCATTTCTACTCTTTTAAAAATTACTATTATTATAACGTTCTATTATTACATGTAATAATTTTTAAAAATATTTATGATGTATAAGCAGAATTCATACTACTAAAATAGATTAATGTTTTATAATAGAACTTATAAATTATTTACATTCTATAATATAAAAAAATAGATTTATTGACTACATTCTAGATATTTTTTTTTATATTTACAAATTATATTCCTAATCAGTAGTTTATAATGAAGAATGATCATGCATCTAGGATACTTTTAGTAAAAAAAAGTTAATTATTTTAATCAAATCAATTTTAATATTTGATAACAGATGCATTATTATTTACTTCAATATTTTAGTTATTGTAATGAACAATATATAGTATCAGTATTCTCTAATTATACTGCTCTAAATAATGAAATATACATAAATGCAAAATTTTAAAGAATCTTAACTGGATTGTGTTGAGATTTAAAACAATACATCTTGTTTGCTTAATTCTTTAAATGCAAAATTATCAATAATCTACCACAATGAATTTATATTCTATTTATGAGGAGTATATAAATTCATTTGATTTATATTTTATCTATTACACTGTAGTATTTATAGCTTACTGTTTATTTTCTTTAATAAAACTTTAATTACATACATTTAAATCAATTAAGTGAAAGTGAAATCAATATTTAATCGTAACGAATAAGACTTCTTTACTATGTAAATTAACTGAAACCAAATGAAGTAAAATATCTTCATTAACATTATCTAAGCTTTGAACCATTTCATCATCATTTAAACTCCTTTACTGGGATTTTACTCCTTCATTCTATGTCACTTATTGATCAGTGAATTAATCTTAGATATTATAATTGAAGAGTTCTTTGGAATAAGATAACTAAGTGCACTGAACTAAGAAAGATATCCAAGTGTTTTATAATGCATATCAAATAGAGTTTTATGATATGGTATTTTCCTTGCTACTACAATGTAATAAGCAATGTATTTAGTATTTATGTAAGTGTAAAGTATTTAGTATTTATACTTTACTCACTTCATAACAAACCTCATGCAAAATCAAAATTTAATATAGGTATTTCTTTCATAGAATTCCTTAATTATACATAAAGAGAAACTTGAAATATGATGATAATTAAACATTATGATGAAGCCACTATATCAATTAATAAGTATTAATTAAATTTTTATTAATTTAACTATTTTCGCAAAGTATAAGGCTATAATTATTGATTTACTACAGATTATTAAATGTTATGATTTACAAATCATAATTTCCTAAACGTGATTCAAATTTTTAGCTGTTGTTGGCTTTTAACTAAAAGTCTTAAATAATTTGCAATAATTGTATTCTGTATAAAATAAATCTAATAACTGGAAGAGAAAATAAATGTTATCTAAGTTTATTCACTTATATACCAAAAATAAGTTAAAAGAAAACTTTTTCATTGAATAAAAATTAATTAAAAATCATATTACCTTCCAAGAAACAATAATTGTACTTGAACCTTTTGCTTTAACCCAAACATCAGTAGGAGGGCCTTTTGGTTCTGTGTAGTTAGCATTAAAGATTAAAAACCAATAAAAAACATGCTAAATATTCCTAAATATCTTATACCTTCTTCTCCAGTAGTAAACCTGTATATATCAGATGGTTCTCCCTGTCCAATTTCATTTTCAGCAACCACTGTTACAGCATATGGAGTGCCAGGCTGTAAACTCTGTAATTCTATGGAAGTTTGAGAATTAGGCACAGTTTCTTCTAATAATTTATGAGCACTACCTGTAAAATAAATTAAAAAAACGATAGAATATTATTTGCAAATTATACCTTACTAAAGTGTTTTATAATTTATTTTTTATTACTAATTAATTTAAATAACACTGAATAATAACAATAAGATTTTAACCTCTCTCTCTCCAATACTGGACGATATATTTTGTAATTTGACTATTTCCACTATAAGGTGCAGACCATTTAATTGTTGCTCTTTTACCCCACACCTCTTGTACTTTAACATCTAACGGCTGAGCTGGAACCTCTATTGTAAAAAATATAAACATTAAAATATTATCAAACTATATTTGTGTAAAGTTTTAGCTTAAGTAATGATCAAAAATAAAAAAAAAAAATTTATTTACCTACAACTAATAACTTAATATTTCTCTCATCGCTTCCGTATTCATTTTTGGCAAAGCAAGTGTATAAAACTCCGTCATTTCTATCCGCAGTTCGAATGACAAGCTCTGAGTTGAGTCCTCTTTCTTGATCTCTATCGAATCTTTCGACTCTATCGTAAAAATGATAGAAAATCCCAGTGTGGTTCACATAAAACAGATTTAACTCTAAATAATAAAAATAATCTTTTACGATGCAGTTCAATCGATCTTCATCGAAAACAATTAAAATATCGTACTTTTGATTCATTAAGAAATTAAAAATAGCCATGATATTTAAACAAGCTGGTGTTTAAATCAATATGACATCATTAGAGAGCGAAGACATTTGCAGTGACAAACGAGATTAACTTAGAATTATTGACTTAATTTCAGATTCAGGAAGTATTTTAAAATAAAGGTAATGCAAAAATGGGACTGACCTCGTCATTTTCGTAAAATCAATCACTTTTTTTTCTTTGGACCAAGTGATAGTCATTGGCTTGTCTCCAACCGCGTCGCATTTTAAAGTAGCTGTGTCTCCTCTACGAACATTTTGGACTGTGAATTTCTCTTCAAATTTGGCAGGAACTTAGTAGAAATCGAAATGGTGATATAAATTATTATAAAGATAATAAGACAAATAAACTTACGATTAGTTATTTTTAGCAAGCAATTACTTTCGAACTTGTATAGTCCTAATATAACATATCGCATTTCAAAAGTTACTACTACTTGTTTTGGAAAAAAAAAAATTGGCGTGATAGTAATTTTAAAAAGTGCTATTAATATTTTCTTACCCAAAACTTTAACAAATATAGTTTTATTGATACCAGTGCCGATACCATTGCTAGCTGAACAGTCGTAACGGCCTTCCATGCTTTTATCCGCGTTTCGAAAAGATAATGTCGAGTTTAAAGCAGTAATATGAATGGATGCATCTATCGATATCACACAAAAAATATTTCTATGGTGATACCTATATTTCGCCATGCTTTTGATTAACCATAAATACCTGTTTTCCATTGAACAAGGGGTTTGGGATAACCAACCGCTTCGCACGATATGTTAAAACTTTTACCTTCCGAAATGGTTAGATCCCGAGGTTCGAATTTCCAACTTGGTGGTGCTAAAATATTTCGATAAAGAAACTAAATTCCATTTTTAATACTTTACATTTTATTATAACGTTAAAAGTATACCATTTATCATAAGAGAGGCGGTAAATTGATCGGACCCAGAAGAAGAAGTCACTCTACACGTGTAATTACCAATTTGTGCCGGTGCTAATTTTTCTATGACTAGGATAGAATAATCGTCGAAGACCTGATAGGTGATCTCGGATGTTGATGTTATTTCGAGATTATCTTTAGTCCAGCGAAAATCATAGGGCCCTAAACCTTCTTTCACGCTACAAATAGCTTTGGCACTCTGACCTACTCTCAAATCAGTAGGAAAATTAAATGTCTGAATCTTTGGTGGGACTGAAAATAAATTTTAATTTTATCGTTATTACATGAGCACTTAATTATGTATGTATATAATGCACAAGTCATATTTAGGATATAAAAAGTTTTTACTTACCAATTTCGATGCCACTTGAGCTTACAACGCTGATGTAGGCGATCAAAAAATAGTGTGATGCGTAAGGAATCATTTTATAGCATAAACGAGATAATCTCAGCTTTCATTTGCTTCTTTGTACACACAGTCCATTCTAAATGATGCTAACATGCAAATGTTAGCTAAACGCCACATCGTGATCATTCGAAGAACTAAATTTTGGAAGTTTAGTGCATTCGAATGATTTACGTTCATGGAAAGTCTCAAAAAATTTTTATAAATATTCTCAATAATAAAATATAATTTAACGCGCATAATATTACAGCTGAACACGTATCTAAAATAACCATCTTGTTTTAGTTTCGGGTAATAAAAATGGCAAAAGAAACTTAAACATAATTTTATGAAGAGTTCTTATCAAAATTTGGAATGTGTATGAGTGTATAGTTTAATCTTAGGAAGCAATACAGTTCATCATGTCTAATTTTAGCAATATTAATGTATTTATTCTTCATAAATCTTACCAATCACTTTGATTTTAATTTCTTTATTAATATCTTTTCCAACATTGTTACTAACTTCGCAAATATAATAGCCTTCGTCTACATCAGTAATTTTATCTAATAACAAGATACTTTTTCCAGGATGTTGCTTCTGTGTTTGCACGTACTGTCCTATTGATAATTGTGGAAAAAATTGCTTAATTATTTTATACTAATAGATGTATATTATTCTCATATATTGATATACCATTATCCGTCCTCTTCCACGTAACTGTTGGTATAGGATAACCGGACACTTCACAAGTAACAGTCACATTATTACCAAGCAGAACATCAATATCACTTGGTTCTTGAATCCATTGAGGAGGAACTAATATGTTTTAAGTTTATTATTTTAAATAAACTTCAGATATTAAATTATAATATTTTAAATTAATATTACCTTTGACTTCTAAGTAAGTACTGTAAGAACTAGTTCCAGTAGAAGTCGATAAAATACAGGTATAGTTACCCGCAACCGAAATATCTACGGGATCTATGACGATAACAGAAAAATCTCTGATCGTCTCGACAGTTACTTTAGGTGAATGTATCTGAATATCTTGTCCATCTTTTTTCCAACTAAATCCGAAAGGGGGGTGCCCAGATCTAGCAGTGCAAGTAGCACTGGCTTTCTGGCCTAAAGATATATCTTTAGGAAAAGAAAACGGCTGAATTTGTGGCATTTCTGAAAGAACAATAACTTGTGTTTTATATCTTGTAAATATAAATTTAAATTATTACACGAGTCAATTATTAAGGAATAAATGCTTACCTTCTAATGCAGACGAATATGTTATCATTGCTAAAAATATAAACAGATGAAAAGAGTTTCTTTCTCTTATCGATATCTTCATGTCAACAGAATCAGTTTATTGTGATTATCATTTGTGAGTATAGCGTCTACACAGTATGTACTACAGCGCCTCATGGCGTTCAATATACTTTAATCCGATATTTTCTAAATTTTCTTACAATTTCGTTTTCTTAAATTAAATCGTGCAAAAACTTATTCTCTGATTTTTTGGTCTTACCAATAACTCTCACTGAAACATCGTTTTCGATCGGTTTTCCAACGTCGTTGTTAGCTAGACATTTATAATGTCCATCATCGTCTTTAGTAACTGATTTTATAATTAGTGTGCCATTGGGTAATACAATTGAATCGTCTTTCATCAGAATACTGTTGAATACGTCGGGAGTAGCAACTGAAAAATACCGATTTTAAAAATCACATTACTTAATAATTAAGGGAAAAAATATTTTTATTACCTGAAGCTTTTTTCCAAGTGATTGTGGGTGCAGGCTTTCCTGAGGCGGAACATGTCAGAGACAGAATATCGCCTATTTGAATTTCCTGATCTTTGGATACAAAATTCCAGACTGCCGGAACTGTATATAACGGTTAAATACGTATTGAAATCTTATTTTCGGTGTATGATTTTCTTGACACTTACCCAATACTTTTAATGGAGTAGTATAACTGTCGGAAAGACCCTCGGCATTAACAATACAGGTGTAATTACCCGCGTGTTCTTCCGAAATAGGGTCTATGATAATAGTCGACATATCGGCAAATGTACGAATTTCAATTTTCTCATCCTTTTGCAATTCTTTACCATTTTTATACCAGACAAATTCTTGTTTATATGCCCACGTTGTGGAGCAAATTGTAGTTATTCTCTGACCAAGAATTACGTCGTTTGGAAAATAAAATGGTTGAATTTTCAGTTCACCTGAATCAAAAATATATTATTTTTATTAGTATCGTAATATCAAGTTCAGCAATTTATAATTTAGTATTATAAATAAAATTTCCAAACTGGTATTTTTTTTCTGAGAAGATTTATCTTATAATTTAAAATATAAAACGTAAAATAAATTACTTTTGTAGTTGTAGTTTAGTTCATGCACTTAATTAAACATTCATTACTATGCATTACAGAAAGTTACAAATAAAACTTAACACTTACCGATTCCATTTCCTAGACAGAAACAAAACAGATGTATAACAAGCGTACACCACATATAAAAACGTACTTTCATCTTGTAAATTTTAAAATACGCATCGCAAAATCATACGAAACCATTGTATTCCTTCCGAATGCATTTGTGAAACTAAAAGCAACAACGCTTTGCAGTAACAAAGACAAACTGATCACAGCGCCATTCTACATACAAAATTCGCAACTAAAATAATTATAAATGATTTAATAAATCGCATTAATTTCGCTAACTGTTGTAAATTTTGTAGTATTTATTAAAACAAATGATCTTACCAATAACATTTAAGAATATGGTAACATCTAGATTATTTCCGACATTATTTGTAGCTTGGCATTTATAAAAGCTTTGGTCGTCTTTATGTATAGAATCTATTACTAAGCTTCCATTATTCAGAATGGAAATTCGTTCATTCGTTTGAATCATAAGATATCTTTCTTCGGAACCAACTGAAATTAATGCAAGTTACAGATTATGTTTCGAAATAATTTACACGATATATTTTCAATGTATTTCTAGAAGCTCTAAATACTAACAGGATTTCATCCAACTAATTGCTGGACTAGGTTTGCCAGAAGCTTGGCAAGGAAGAATTGCCTGTTCGTTTATAACAAATTTTGCATCTTGAGGTTTATGAATCCATTTTGGAGGAACTAAAAGTAAAAGTTTTCATTATCATTAAACTTTGTTAAGGAATATATCAAGAATTAATTTATATATTTATATTCATTGAATTTTCATAAATCATACCTAAAATATTCAGACTTGTACTATAAGCGTCAGTTAATCCTTCAGACATCACTACACAAGTATAATTGCCATCGTCATTTTCCGACACGGGATCTATGACAATATTTGACAAGTCACCATAAGAACGAATCTGAATATGTCCTTTATTTTCAATTTCTTCTTTATTTTTGTACCAAGAAAATAAAAGCTTTTCTCCCCAAGTTGTACTACATGTTGTTGTCACTCTTTGACCAATTATGACTGGAGAGGGGAAATTGAAAGGCTGTATTTTCAAATCATCTAGAAATATATTTGTAAAATTTACAATTATCTTTGATTTATAAAGTTATAATTTTCAAGAGTATTTAATAATTTAAATTATATATTTTTTGGTATTAAGAAAGCAAACTCACCTTTTTGTAAATCAGCTCTGCAGTATAGAATAGCAAGCGCTATCAACAAGATATAGGAATTAAATCCCATCATAATTTATTTCCTTTTTTGGCAAGAGAAAAATAATATCATGATAAATTTTTTAAAACAAAATACTTCGTTTTATACGGCATTTTGTATTTAGAATTGCTCCTAAAATGGCGAGCAGTATTCACGAAAACAAAGAACTGCCCTTGCGCCATCTGAAAACATCGAAAGTTGAGTTTTGCGACGCGTAATAATTTTAAAATCCAGAATTTCAAGAGATTTTACTTTTATTTTTAATAATTAATTGTGATAATTAATACATAAATTATAAAACTAATTAATGTCGGCGAAATATTTGCATAAATATAACATCGATATTTAATAATAAAAATTGTAATAATGTATCTACTATACTGTTAACACGCATAAACAGAATTGCTTTTAAATTATTTTTCTGTTTTTTGTTTGAAGTTTTTTCACCGCAGGATAAACTTCGTCTATAATTTCTGTTGCTTAGTGATATCGTTACGAATATCACTAAGCAACAGAAATTATATCAATAGATGATGATGCATCGTTGCAAAATTTTTAATTTTAAAATATTCCATCTGCTCTTTATAATACTAAAGCGCAGATGGAGTATTTTAAAATGAAAAATTCTGTATTAATACAAAAGTTCAGTTTTAACTTTCGACTTTTTAGACCCAATTTATAAAACCTTGCGATATAATTCAAATATAAGCTTTTCCTTTTGAAAATTATATCACTCAGACAAATTTTTACATAAGAAATTGATCTATTCAAAGCATCTCAATCTGTTTATACAATATAATAAAGTTTATTTATTATTAAATTCAAAAATCAGATACAGCAGTTTTATCTTACCACGTACAAATAATGCTATGCTTCTCGATAGCTTATCTCCTACACCATTAGATGCTTCGCACACATAATAGCCAACATTTTTATAATCTGCTTTATCGATAAGTAGTTGACTTCTTCCTTCAGATGCTCTCTGATGCTCAACTATTATTGAAGATTCGGAGCCTTTTCCTAAATACACTCGTTTCTTTATAAATCAGTCTTAAGAGTGAAATTAGTTTTTTTAGATAAAACCCTAAAATTATAAATATAAATACCAGAGGCTATAACTTTCTTCCACGTAACAACTGGTAAAGGCAAGCCAGAAGCCTGACATTCGATACTTCTATTCATTCCAATTACAAGTTCGACGTCACTTAGATCATTGATCCATTTCGCAGGTGCTATGCGAATTTTAATAATTCGATTTTTACGCTATTTGTTTAGTGACCGATAAAATAACGAATATTTCGCCTTACCTTTGACGAAAAGTGATGCTGTGTAACTATCTGTACCTATTACATTTTTCAACAAACAAGTATAATTTCCAACATCAGAGACAGAAACTGCTTCCAAAATAATTACTGAAACTTCTCCTAAGGATCTAATAATGACTTTAGATGATGGATTTATTTCACGGCCATTTTTTTGCCAAACGAACTCTAAAGGAGGAGAACCAGCTACAGCTGTGCAGGCGACACTCGCTTTTTGTCCCAAAATTACTTCGTTGGGAAAGCTAAATGGTTGAATCCGGGGTTCATCTGCAAAACTCGTGTTTTTTAATTTCAAAATAATTTAATTTAAAATCTAGAATCTCTGTTGTAATATGAGCATTTTCTTTACTTACCTTTTGAGCAATACACAAGTATAATAAACCATTTGGTTAAAAGAAATTGTAAAGGCAGTTTCCAGTAATTATTTTCCATTATCGCCACTCAGAACCGCATATTTAGCTGATTCTGATCATCCGTACAACTCTGAAATAAATTTATTTTCATTTAGCTGTGTTTTTATAATACATAAAAGACTTCATCTTAACAAAAATATCAGAATTTAGAAAAGACGAATAACTTACCTATTTGCCTTTCACACACAAAGAATATCTCTTTCCAGCGCCTCCTTTCGTCAGAAATAGGAATTGTCATACAGATCTCGAAAATATTTTTTTCTCAAACTCAACTCAGTAATTTATTTCATCGTTAAATCGATTATTTTTACATCAAGATAAAAATATTTTAACGATTTACATACCTATCACGCGTATCGAAATATCTTTACTCAATACTTCCCCGACGCCATTATATACTTCGCATCTATATAATCCTTCTTGCGTTTTTCTTATATCAGTGATGATCAACGAACCGTTAGTTGAGACAACAATATTATCAGCAGTCATAATTGTCTCAAGGCTATTCTGATTTAAATCTATAGGAACAACCATATATATGATTGATGTTTATGTATATGATATGGCATGCAGACCATTAATTGTTCTTCTTACGGGAAACTTTTTTCCAAATGATATTCGGAGGCGGTACACCCGAAGCTTGGCATAAAAATGAAACTGTGTCTCCACTAGCAATATCTTGGTCAGATGGTTGTTTAATCCATTGAGCTGGAACTAAATATACGATAAAATTACGACTTAAAAGACTATCATAATTTAAATTCCTTTAAAAATTATTTTCATTTGATTTTATTACAGACTTACCTAACACTTTAAGTACAGCGCTGTAACTATCGGATGCTGACGGTAAATTTACAGTGCATGTATAATTACCATTATCGTTTATTTCAGCCGTTTCGATAACCAGCATAGATGCTCCCGCATAATTTAATATTTGAATTCTTTTATTTGCATCAATTTCTTTACCGTCTTTATACCATTTATACACTAAATCATCGCCACTATTTGTGGCACAAGTCGTGGTAACTCTTTCTCCTAAAGTCACCGTTTTAGGAAAGTTAAATGGTCTTATTTTTTGCCCTATTCGAAAAATTGATTTGATTAAAATACTATAGTAATTTCATTAAGTTTTAAATTGAGTTTATTGAAAAATTTTCTTACCTGTTCCAACTGATGACAAGAAAGTAATCATCAGTACTTTCACTATGTCTTTATAAATCATTTTTCCGAATAGTTATGTCGTTGAACAATATCTTCTTAAACAGTGCATATCACGTCTGAAAGGAATGGCTTCTAATAACATTCGATCAACATTAAATACTAATCTTAAAGATACAGCACAAATAAATTTCTAGCTAAGCCAGCATCCATAACTAGACAAAGACTCGCTACGCAGCGCCCTCCGGTTTCCAAAACCGTCCTGAACCAATATTTTGCAGATATACCGTATTTTACAAGGAAAATTTTATTCATTGTATTCATCGAAATTTAGTGAATATATTGATTCTCTCTTATAATCCAACATTATAATAAATAACCATATTCTCGAATTATGTGTTTTTTTAATTATATCTGTATAATTTACTTAGTTTTTTTTAATGAAACTGGAAGTTAACGAATCTAGGGCTTTAAACATTATTAAAATAGTTTTATTATTAGCACACTACAAATTCATGTAGAAAAATCTTATAATTTTCTTTACAGAGTACAAAAACAATCTTACCACGAACGGTAATAGATATTATTTTATTTAGTGGATCTCCTATTCCATTTTTAGCCTCACAGATATATTGGCCTTCGTCTATGTCTCGAATATTCTCAATATTTAATAAATTCTTCCCTGTCTGTGATTCTGACTCAAGAGACAATGCTCCTTGGAGAAAAAAATTAATAAAAATCACACGTGTTTACATAAAAAGTTTCAATACAAAAATAAATTTTATTTACCGTCCAATTTCCTCCAAGAAACATTCGGAGGAGGTAATCCTGTTGCTTCACATTCTAGCATTAGTGAAGTTCCCACAACTACATCTTGATCTGAAGGTTCTTGAACCCATTTCGTTGGCGCTAGAAGAAAAGAAATTCAGTTTCAGGTTCATATCTTTAATTTATTATTAGAATAAGAATTGTCTTCACAGAAACTTAAGGAAAACAATTATGCCAAACAATACCTCTTACTAATAAACTTGCAGAAAATCTATCGATCCCGGACGAAGTAGTAAGCACACACGTATAATTTCCTGCAGAATCGGTCTCTACTTTTTCTATGAGTAAGACCGAAGAATCTCTAGTAGTATAAGATTGGATACTAATTTTATCAATATCATTAATTTCACGACCATCTTTAAGCCAAGAAAATTCTAGAGGAGGATTTCCAGAAATTGCTGTGCATATTGTACTGACTTTCTGGCCAAGCACAACTTGTTTTGGAAAATTAAATGGTTGTATTTTTGGCACTTCTAGAAAGAAAACCAAAGATCTTGTAATAATCAATTACATTTCAAATAAATATGATATATTTAAAAATTTGTAAATTTATAGCTAGAATTTTCGTTTTCTGAAGAAACAGTAAAATTGTATATAGCTTACCTTGCGACAAAACTTCAACGATTATGACTGAAGCCACTATCAATGTATACGCCATGCTGTTAGCAAACTTTCACTGTTTACATTCGTGGAATAATTCAAATAATCGTTATAAAATTAGAAAACGTTTATCTCTGACTATTGTAATAGCACACACACAAACATTAAGCAACTTTAATGAAGAGCGAAATTCCTGTTACCTCGAAAATGACAAAGAAAACATTCTCTGGTTTTGATATAAGGAAGCGCCATGCAGCGACCAAACGTTGTAACATAAAATAAAAATTCATTTCTCTAAATTCCCAAAATATTGAAATTTTCAAAAAGTACAATTATATAAATTCATACTTAAAAATATATAATTAATAAATATTAATTTACAGTATTATTAATGTACTACAATTTAATTTAAGGCGAGAATTTCATTATGTCTATTTACAATCAATTAGTAAACTGTTACAATAAATTCGTCATATTACAAATTTTCTAAAAACTATATATTTATTTTATAGTATATCAACTATATGAAATTTGCAGAAAATATGCTGATTATCTTGGAAGTAATATAAATGTAATGTAACTATAAATTATATCAAAATAGCAAAAATTAGCTTAATAAAATTTTACACTAAGCTATTTATTTCTGGGCATAAAGAATTATGTGCTTTATGTAAACCTTTACATTAGACATTACTTTTCAGAATTAATAAAACTTTACGATATTCAGTTATAAATTAATATTAATAATTACTTTATGGTTGAATATAATATCTAAGAANAGCAGAGTTGCCCTTTAATAAAAAAAATTAAGTGGTATTAAAAATTAAAAGAGCCATAAATTTTTATTGTTTGACATTGTTTATTAGAATTGTATCATATAATATTTTGAATAAATAAATTTTCTTACCACGTACAATAATGGTGATTATTTTACTTAATTGATCACCAATTCCATTTTTTGCTTCGCAGACATATTTCCCTTCATCTATAGCTTTTATATTTTCAATGGATAAATCATTTTTTCCTATTTTGGAATCTTCTTGAAATAAACCTCCTTCACCAAAAAATCATAATTAAATGAATTTATCAGGCTAGAATTTCGATACTCTTGACAGCTATTTACGGACTATTGACAAACCATCTATTTTCCTCCAAGAAACTGTCGGTAAGGGTAATCCGGTAGCTTCACATTCCAAGGCTACCGAACTTCCCACGGTAACATGCTTATCTTCCGGTTCCTTGATCCATCTTGCAGGTGCTAGCATAGCGAAAACGAGATTTTAAATTATTTCACAGTTATATCATTTATAAACCAACAATTTGGAATATTTACCTCTTACATCCAAATTTGCGGTAAACTTATCCATACCCATGGATGTTTTAAGAATACACGTATAATTTCCGGCAGACTGATCTTGAACACTCTCTATAAGTAACACCGAATAATCTTTGTAGGACTGAATTGAGAGTTCATCTTTAGATTGAATCTCTCTGCTATCTTTCAACCATGAAAATTCTAGAGGAGGATCTCCAGCAATAGCTGTACATATTGTACTAACTTTCTGTCCAAGAATTACTTGCTTAGGAAAATAAAATGGTTGTATTTTGGGTAAATCTGAAAATAAATTGATTTATGATTTCTATTTTAAAATATTTGAATGAAATATAAATCTTATCTGTTACTTTTGAACTATTAAATTTTTACAATAATAATATTAAAAATTATAACGTGAATGAAACTTACTTTGCGAGGCAAGCAGCTTTAAACTAATCAGTAATATCAATGAGATAGAAGTCGAATCCTCCATCTTGAAACTGTACTTTTAAAGCTTCAAATTGTCAATGTCATGTGACGACTTACTTTCTTATTAACAGAATATCATTGAACTTCTTCATTTTTCGCTGTTGATTTAATAAGTATACTTTAAAGCCGACAATTTATAAACCAATGGCACAGCTATCCACGCAGTAAAGATTACATACATCACACAAAGCCAACCTACTCACTTCACACAAAGTCACCTAGTGTCAGAATTATGAACATTATAAATACCGTATTAAATAGAACAATGAAACAACCCTTAATCGCTTTTACATAGTAAAACTATTTACGAATTAATTATATCGACATTCTATTCACAAATATTTATAATTAAAAAGACTGATAACATGTCGCTTAGAATTTCATTCAATTTGTGAAAATATTAAAAATAATAATAATTAATAAAATAATACGATTATATCCCCTTATTTTTATTCACTGTAAAATTTAATTAGTTCTATGAATTCTAGAATATAAGGAAACTACATCTACATATATTATGAATGAAAAATATGATATAATGAATAACTTCATATTGCATTTAAGGTATAAATTTCGTACAAAAACATTATGCTAATATTAATAATATATGAAATGCAAGAGTCTATTGAATAGCAACATATTCAGTCACACAAAATCTAATGTTATTTCATTATAATTCACGTGCTACACCTGTACTCAGTAATGTATAAATAACGTTTTAAGCCCTTTTGTTTATCTGTATACAATTCAACCATTGCTGAAACACGATATACGATAAATCTTGGTGATATAGAATTGTAAGGATGTTAGTTATAAAAACAAAAATAATAAGGTATTAAAAGTTTATTTAAAATATCGAAAAAAATTATATAATGTCATTGTTATAGTCTTGACACATTCTTATTCTTTACCATAATAAAATATAAATATTTCATGATCCTTACCCCGAACGTTTACGGTTACTTTTTGGATCAAAGCATCACCTATTCCATTTTTTGCTTCGCAAACATATTCTCCTTCGTCTACATCTCTGATGCTTTCTAAAACTAATTCATTTTTCCCAAGCTTTGGTTCTTTTTGATCAGGAAATGCCCCTTTTAAATTAAATAACTATTAAAGTAATTAATTTAAACATAATCGATTATTTGAATTGACTATTTTACCATTTACTTTGGTCCAAGTAATGGTTGGCAAGGGTAAGCCTGTAGCTTCGCATTCTAAAACCAGAATACTACCTACAATTACATCGGCATCCTTCGGTTGCTTTATCCATGCTGAAGGTGCTACCATAAAATGGTATTTAAGATTATCATCAACGTTCGATATTATCTAATTATGTTATAATTTATTTCTATGTACCTTGAACTTCTAAAGTCGCTGTATATTTGTCTACACCAGCCGAAGTCGAAAGCACACAAGTGTAATTTCCTGCAGACTGAACTTTTACTTTTTCAATAAATAATACCGAATAATCTTTGAACGATTGAATCGATATCTCATCATTATCGTTAATTTCTCGTCCGTCTTTTAACCAGGAAAACGTTAAAGGCGAATTTCCAGAGATAGCAGAACACACAGTACTAATTTTCTGACCAAGAATAACTTGTTTAGGAAATGTTATCGGTTGTATTTGTGGTAATTCTAAAATATATCGTTACAGAAATGGAGTATTAGCGTATTAATTAAAATAAACTGTTAATTTTATGGTCCGCTTCAAATCGAATGCAAACAATTAACTTACGTTCTGACAGGCTTTGTAACAGTTGATCAAAGAACACAAAAGAGATTACTGGAAACAGTAACGCCATTTTGGCATTTGAAGCATAATTTAACTTACTTATTGTTACTATTACGCAAACTTTCATCTCTGAAATCAACATTTTCTATCACAACGATCCATTCGTATGCATTCTTGGCTACNCTAAATACTAACAGGATTTCATCCAACTAATTGCTGGACTAGGTTTGCCAGAAGCTTGGCAAGGAAGAATTGCCTGTTCGTTTATAACAAATTTTGCATCTTGAGGTTTATGAATCCATTTTGGAGGAACTAAAAGTAAAAGTTTTCATTATCATTAAACTTTGTTAAGGAATATATCAAGAATTAATTTATATATTTATATTCATTGAATTTTCATAAATCATACCTAAAATATTCAGACTTGTACTATAAGCGTCAGTTAATCCTTCAGACATCACTACACAAGTATAATTGCCATCGTCATTTTCCGACACGGGATCTATGACAATATTTGACAAGTCACCATAAGAACGAATCTGAATATGTCCTTTATTTTCAATTTCTTCTTTATTTTTGTACCAAGAAAATAAAAGCTTTTCTCCCCAAGTTGTACTACATGTTGTTGTCACTCTTTGACCAATTATGACTGGAGAGGGGAAATTGAAAGGCTGTATTTTCAAATCATCTAGAAATATATTTGTAAAATTTACAATTATCTTTGATTTATAAAGTTATAATTTTCAAGAGTATTTAATAATTTAAATTATATATTTTTTGGTATTAAGAAAGCAAACTCACCTTTTTGTAAATCAGCTCTGCAGTATAGAATAGCAAGCGCTATCAACAAGATATAGGAATTAAATCCCATCATAATTTATTTCCTTTTTTGGCAAGAGAAAAATAATATCATGATAAATTTTTTAAAACAAAATACTTCGTTTTATACGGCATTTTGTATTTAGAATTGCTCCTAAAATGGCGAGCAGTATTCACGAAAACAAAGAACTGCCCTTGCGCCATCTGAAAACATCGAAAGTTGAGTTTTGCGACGCGTAATAATTTTAAAATCCAGAATTTCAAGAGATTTTACTTTTATTTTTAATAATTAATTGTGATAATTAATACATAAATTATAAAACTAATTAATGTCGGCGAAATATTTGCATAAATATAACATCGATATTTAATAATAAAAATTGTAATAATGTATCTACTATACTGTTAACACGCATAAACAGAATTGCTTTTAAATTATTTTTCTGTTTTTTGTTTGAAGTTTTTTCACCGCAGGATAAACTTCGTCTATAATTTCTGTTGCTTAGTGATATCGTTACGAATATCACTAAGCAACAGAAATTATATCAATAGATGATGATGCATCGTTGCAAAATTTTTAATTTTAAAATATTCCATCTGCTCTTTATAATACTAAAGCGCAGATGGAGTATTTTAAAATGAAAAATTCTGTATTAATACAAAAGTTCAGTTTTAACTTTCGACTTTTTAGACCCAATTTATAAAACCTTGCGATATAATTCAAATATAAGCTTTTCCTTTTGAAAATTATATCACTCAGACAAATTTTTACATAAGAAATTGATCTATTCAAAGCATCTCAATCTGTTTATACAATATAATAAAGTTTATTTATTATTAAATTCAAAAATCAGATACAGCAGTTTTATCTTACCACGTACAAATAATGCTATGCTTCTCGATAGCTTATCTCCTACACCATTAGATGCTTCGCACACATAATAGCCAACATTTTTATAATCTGCTTTATCGATAAGTAGTTGACTTCTTCCTTCAGATGCTCTCTGATGCTCAACTATTATTGAAGATTCGGAGCCTTTTCCTAAATACACTCGTTTCTTTATAAATCAGTCTTAAGAGTGAAATTAGTTTTTTTAGATAAAACCCTAAAATTATAAATATAAATACCAGAGGCTATAACTTTCTTCCACGTAACAACTGGTAAAGGCAAGCCAGAAGCCTGACATTCGATACTTCTATTCATTCCAATTACAAGTTCGACGTCACTTAGATCATTGATCCATTTCGCAGGTGCTATGCGAATTTTAATAATTCGATTTTTACGCTATTTGTTTAGTGACCGATAAAATAACGAATATTTCGCCTTACCTTTGACGAAAAGTGATGCTGTGTAACTATCTGTACCTATTACATTTTTCAACAAACAAGTATAATTTCCAACATCAGAGACAGAAACTGCTTCCAAAATAATTACTGAAACTTCTCCTAAGGATCTAATAATGACTTTAGATGATGGATTTATTTCACGGCCATTTTTTTGCCAAACGAACTCTAAAGGAGGAGAACCAGCTACAGCTGTGCAGGCGACACTCGCTTTTTGTCCCAAAATTACTTCGTTGGGAAAGCTAAATGGTTGAATCCGGGGTTCATCTGCAAAACTCGTGTTTTTTAATTTCAAAATAATTTAATTTAAAATCTAGAATCTCTGTTGTAATATGAGCATTTTCTCTACTTACCTTTTGAGCAATACACAAGTATAATAAACCATTTGGTTAAAAAAAATTGTAAAGGCAGTTTCCAGTAATTATTTTCCATTATCGCCACTCAGAACCGCATATTTAGCTGATTCTGATCATCCGTACAACTCTGAAATAAATTTATTTTCATTTAGCTGTGTTTTTATAATACATAAAAGACTTCATCTTAACAAAAATATCAGAATTTAGAAAAGACGAATAACTTACCTATTTGCCTTTCACACACAAAGAATATCTCTTTCCAGCGCCTCCTTTCGTCAGAAATAGGAATTGTCATACAGATCTCGAAAATATTTTTTTCTCAAACTCAACTCAGTAATTTATTTCATCGTTAAATCGATTATTTTTACGTCAAGATAAAAATATTTTAACGATTTACATACCTATCACGCGTATCGAAATATCTTTACTCAATACTTCCCCGACGCCATTATATACTTCGCATCTATATAATCCTTCTTGCGTTTTTCTTATATCAGTGATGATCAACGAACCGTTAGTTGAGACAACAATATTATCAGCAGTCATAATTGTCTCAAGGCTATTCTGATTTAAATCTATAGGAACAACCATATATATGATTGATGTTTATGTATATGATATGGCATGCAGACCATTAATTGTTCTTCTTACGGGAAACTTTTTTCCAAATGATATTCGGAGGCGGTACACCCGAAGCTTGGCATAAAAATGAAACTGTGTCTCCACTAGCAATATCTTGGTCAGATGGTTGTTTAATCCATTGAGCTGGAACTAAATATACGATAAAATTACGACTTAAAAGACTATCATAATTTAAATTCCTTTAAAAATTATTTTCATTTGATTTTATTACAGACTTACCTAACACTTTAAGTACAGCGCTGTAACTATCGGATGCTGACGGTAAATTTACAGTGCATGTATAATTACCATTATCGTTTATTTCAGCCGTTTCGATAACCAGCATAGATGCTCCCGCATAATTTAATATTTGAATTCTTTTATTTGCATCAATTTCTTTACCGTCTTTATACCATTTATACACTAAATCATCGCCACTATTTGTGGCACAAGTCGTGGTAACTCTTTCTCCTAAAGTCACCGTTTTAGGAAAGTTAAATGGTCTTATTTTTTGCCCTATTTGAAAAATCGATTTTATTAAAATATTATAGCAAGCTCATTAAGTTCAAAATTAATTTTATTTAAAATTTACTTACCAGTTCCAACTGATAACGAGAAAGTAATCACCAATACTTTCACTATGACTTTATAAATCATTTTTTGAATAGTTATATCGTTGAACAATGTCTTCTTAAACAGTGCATAGCATGTATGAAAGGAATAATTTCTAATAATACACTCGATCAACATTAAATACTAATCTTAAAGATTGCATCAGCACAAATAAATTTCTAGCCAAGCTAGCATCCATAACTAAACAAAGACTCGCTCCCAGCGCCCTCCGGTTTTCAAAACAGTTCTGAACCAATATTTTCCACAGATATATAATAAGGAAAACGCTATTCGTGTGATCATCGAAAGTTAACGAATATAATCTAACATTAATGTAATAATAATTTATTATATTCTCGAATTATGTTTTTTTAAATTATATCTATATAAATTATACCGCCTAATTTATATAGCTTTTAATGGAACTGAAAGTTAAAGAACCTATTGCTTTAAACATTATTAAAATAATTTTATTATTGACATACTACAAATTCATGTAAAGAAACTTTGATAATTTTCAACACAGAGTACAAAAACAATAATCTTACCACGAACCGTAATAGATATTATTTTATTTAGTGGATCTCCTATTCCATTTTTAGCCTCACAGATATATTGGCCTTCGTCTATATCTCGAATATTCTCAATATTTAATAAATTCTTCCCTATCTGTGATTCTGACTCGAGAGACAATGCACCTTGGAGGAAAACAAAATTAATAAACATTTTACTTGTTTACATATAAAAGAATTCAATATAAATTTTTATTTACCGTCCAATTTCCTCCAAGAAACATTCGGAGGAGGTAACCCTGTCGCTTCACATTCTATCACTAGTGAAGTTCCCACAACTATATCTTTATCTGAAGGTTCTTGAACCCATTTTGTTGGCGCTAGAACAAATAAATTTAGTTTCAGATTGATACTTTATTTTATTACTAGAATAAGAATTATTTTCAGAGAAAATTACGCAAAACAATTATGCCAAACAATACCTCTTACTAATAAACTTGCAGAAAATCTATCGATTCCGGACGAAGTAGTAAGTACACACGTATAATTTCCTGCAGAATCGGTCTCTACTTTTTCTATGAGTAAGACCGAAGAATCTCTAGTAGTATAAGATTGGATACTAATTTTATCAATATCATTAATTTCACGACCATCTTTAAGCCAAGAAAATTCTAGAGGAGGATTTCCAGAAATTGCTGTGCATATTGTACTGACTTTCTGGCCAAGCACAACTTGTTTTGGAAAATTAAATGGTTGTATTTTTGGCACTTCTAGAAAGAAAACCAAAGATCTTATAATAATCAATTACATTTCAAATAAATATGATATATTTAAAAATTTGTAAATTTATAGCTAGAATTTTCGTTTTCTGAAGAAACAGTAAAATTGTATATAGCTTACCTTGCGACAAAACTTCAACGATTATGACTGAAGCCACTATCAATGTATACGCCATGCTGTTAGCAAACTTTCACTGTTTACATTCGTGGAATAATTCAAATAATCGTTATAAAATTAGAAAACGTTTATCTCTGACTATTGTAATAGCACACACACAAACATTAAGCAACTTTAATGAAGGGCGAAATTCCTGTTACCTCGAAAATGACAAAGAAAACATTCTCTGGTTTTGATATAAGGAAGCGCCATGCAGCGACCAAACGTTGTAACATAAAATAAAAATTCATTTCTCTAAATTCCCAAAATATTGAAATTTTCAAAAAATACAATTATATAAATTCATACTTAAAAATATATAATTAATAAATATTAATTTACAGTATTATTAATGTACTACAATTTAATTTAAGGCGAGAATTTCATTATGTCTATTTACAATCAATTAGTAAACTGTTACAATAAATTCGTCATATTACAAATTTTCTAAAAACTATATATTTATTTTATAGTATATCAACTATATGAAATTTGCAGAAAATATGCTGATTATCTTGGAAGTAATATAAATGTAATGTAACTATAAATTATATCAAAATAGCAAAAATTAGCTTAATAAAATTTTACACTAAGCTATTTATTTCTGGGCATAAAGAATTATGTGCTTTATGTAAACCTTTACATTAGACATTACTTTTCAGAATTAATAAAACTTTACGATATTCAGTTATAAATTAATATTAATAATTACTTTATGGTTGAATATAATATCTAAGAATTACATTATAAATTAATAAAAAAAATTAAGTGGTATTAAAAATTAAAAGAGCCATAAATTTTTATTGTTTGACATTGTTTATTAGAATTGTATCATATAATATTTTGAATAAATAAATTTTCTTACCACGTACAATAATGGTGATTATTTTACTTAATTGATCACCAATTCCATTTTTTGCTTCGCAGACATATTTCCCTTCATCTATAGCTTTTATATTTTCAATGGATAAATCATTTTTTCCTATTTTGGAATCTTCTTGAAATAAACCTCCTTCACCAAAAAATCATAATTAAATGAATTTATCAGGCTAGAATTTCGATACTCTTGACAGCTATTTACGGACTATTGACAAACCATCTATTTTCCTCCAAGAAACTGTCGGTAAGGGTAATCCGGTAGCTTCACATTCCAAGGCTACCGAACTTCCCACGGTAACATGCTTATCTTCTGGTTCCTTGATCCATCTTGCAGGTGCTAGCATAGCGAAAACGAGATTTTAAATTATTTCACAGTTATATCATTTATAAACCAACAATTTGGAATATTTACCTCTTACATCCAAATTTGCGGTAAACTTATCCACACCCATGGATGTTTTAAGAATACACGTATAATTTCCGGCAGACTGATCTTGAACACTCTCTATAAGTAACACCGAATAATCTTTGTAGGACTGAATTGAGAGTTCATCTTTAGATTGAATCTCTCTGCTATCTTTCAACCATGAAAATTCTAGAGGAGGATCTCCAGCAATAGCTGTACATATTGTACTAACTTTCTGTCCAAGAATTACTTGCTTAGGAAAATAAAATGGTTGTATTTTGGGTAAATCTGAAAATAAATTGATTTATGATTTCTATTTTAAAATATTTGAATGAAATATAAATCTTATCTGTTACTTTTGAACTATTAAATTTTTACAATAATAATATTAAAAATTATAACGTGAATGAAACTTACTTTGCGAGGCAAGCAGCTTTAAACTAATCAGTAATATCAATGAGATAGAAGTCGAATCCTCCATCTTGAAACTGTACTTTTAAAGCTTCAAATTGTCAATGTCATGTGACGACTTACTTTCTTATTAACAGAATATCATTGAACTTCTTCATTTTTCGCTGTTGATTTAATAAGTATACTTTAAAGCCGACAATTTATAAACCAATGGCACAGCTATCCACGCAGTAAAGATTACATACATCACACAAAGCCAACCTACTCACTTCACACAAAGTCACCTAGTGTCAGAATTATGAACATTATAAATACCGTATTAAATAGAACAATGAAACAACCCTTAATCGCTTTTACATAGTAAAACTATTTACGAATTAATTATATCGACATTCTATTCACAAATATTTATAATTAAAAAGACTGATAACATGTCGCTTAGAATTTCATTCAATTTGTGAAAATATTAAAAATAATAATAATTAATAAAATAATACGATTATATCCCCTTATTTTTATTCACTGTAAAATTTAATTAGTTCTATGAATTCTAGAATATAAGGAAACTACATCTACATATATTATGAATGAAAAATATGATATAATGAATAACTTCATATTGCATTTAAGGTATAAATTTCGTACAAAAACATTATGCTAATATTAATAATATATGAAATGCAAGAGTCTATTGAATAGCAACATATTCAGTCACACAAAATCTAATGTTATTTCATTATAATTCACGTGCTACACCTGTACTCAGTAATGTATAAATAACGTTTTAAGCCCTTTTGTTTATCTGTATACAATTCAACCATTGCTGAAACACGATATACGATAAATCTTGGTGATATAGAATTGTAAGGATGTTAGTTATAAAAACAAAAATAATAAGGTATTAAAAGTTTATTTAAAATATCGAAAAAAATTATATAATGTCATTGTTATAGTCTTGACACATTCTTATTCTTTACCATAATAAAATATAAATATTTCATGATCCTTACCCCGAACGTTTACGGTTACTTTTTGGATCAAAGCATCACCTATTCCATTTTTTGCTTCGCAAACATATTCTCCTTCGTCTACATCTCTGATGCTTTCTAAAACTAATTCATTTTTCCCAAGCTTTGGTTCTTTTTGATCAGGAAATGCCCCTTTTAAATTAAATAACTATTAAAGTAATTAATTTAAACATAATCGATTATTTGAATTGACTATTTTACCATTTACTTTGGTCCAAGTAATGGTTGGCAAGGGTAAGCCTGTAGCTTCGCATTCTAAAACCAGAATACTACCTACAATTACATCGGCATCCTTCGGTTGCTTTATCCATGCTGAAGGTGCTACCATAAAATGGTATTTAAGATTATCATCAACGTTCGATATTATCTAATTATGTTATAATTTATTTCTATGTACCTTGAACTTCTAAAGTCGCTGTATATTTGTCTACACCAGCCGAAGTCGAAAGCACACAAGTGTAATTTCCTGCAGACTGAACTTTTACTTTTTCAATAAATAATACCGAATAATCTTTGAACGATTGAATCGATATCTCATCATTATCGTTAATTTCTCGTCCGTCTTTTAACCAGGAAAACGTTAAAGGCGAATTTCCAGAGATAGCAGAACACACAGTACTAATTTTCTGACCAAGAATAACTTGTTTAGGAAATGTTATCGGTTGTATTTGTGGTAATTCTAAAATATATCGTTACAGAAATGGAGTATTAGCGTATTAATTAAAATAAACTGTTAATTTTATGGTCCGCTTCAAATCGAATGCAAACAATTAACTTACGTTCTGACAGGCTTTGTAACAGTTGATCAAAGAACACAAAAGAGATTACTGGAAACAGTAACGCCATTTTGGCATTTGAAGCATAATTTAACTTACTTATTGTTACTATTACGCAAACTTTCATCTCTGAAATCAACATTTTCTATCACAACGATCCATTCGTATGCATTCTTGGCTACTTAAGTTTAGGTTATTGCAAATAATGCTGAGACGCTATCTCGTTTAAAGAGCTTGCGAGAGCGCCGCGCAACGTCGAAATTTGCTTCAAAACCGTAATAATTTTTAAATGCTTACTTGGAAATATATTTATATTGCTTTATAATATACTTTCTATAATATAAAAAATTTTTATTAATGTTTTTCAAATAATTATAATGAATATACTAATGAAAAGTTATAAAATAAAAGGAATTTGCAGCATTTTAAATTCACAGATTTTAATAATAAACAACACAAAAATAGCATATAGATATAAAAACTTAAGTTTAAATACAAAATCGATATTGATAAATAATTTTTTAAATCAATATCAATAATATATATCTATTGTATCATCGCTAGAGGAAAATTTTTAACTAATTGTCACCATATTGAGACAACAGAGTCTCTAGATAAAGGTCGACTGTGTCACAAACATTGTTACATTCTTGAGGTGTGGGAAAAAAAACGAAACGAGAAGACACTTTTTATCTCCCTTTTTTAGTGTTTAACGAACTTTTAATTATTTTATGTTTAAGGTTATTGAATAAGAATTTATCTAATAATACACTATTTTCAATCATATTAAATTACTAATTAATTGAATTATGTATTTTCTTAATTGAACTAATTAAAATATGCAAAATTTGCATAGGAAATAAAAATTGTACTAAATAGATATACATAAACGGCAGGAAACATTAAAGATAAGTTTATTTACGAAAGTTAAATTATTATTTCTTACCACGAACGGATACAGTTATTTCTTTATTTAAAGATTCTCCAATGCCATTTCTAGCTTCACAGATATATCGTCCTTCGTCTGAATCTTGAACGTTCTCGATAATTAATTTATTATTTCCAATTTTGATTTCTTTCTGATTTGTTAGCACACCTTTATAAAAGCATGTTTTTTTTTTTCTTTAATTCAACAAAATCCAGGGAGTTTTCTAAATAAATTTGAAACCATTACGAGATTCACCGTCTAGTTTCATCCAAGATACATCTGGTGAGGGTAATCCAGTAGCCTCGCATTCCAGTATAAGTGTGCTTCCAACTTTTATGTCTTTATCTTCTGGTTCTTTTATCCACTTGGGAGGAGCTAGAAATATATTTTTCTCTTTAATTGTATATTTGTATTTTATGAATAAAAACTATCATTATAAAATCAATGTTACCTCTGATCTCTAGAGAAGCTGTATATCTATCCACACCACTAGAAGCAGAAAGTGTGCAGGTATAATTTCCTGCAGATTGCACATCAACTCTTTCTATAAGTAATACCGAATAATCTTTATAAGTTTGAATTGATAGATTATCCTTAGTATGGATTTCTTTTCCATCTTTCAACCAAGAAAATTCCAAAGGCGGAGGACCGGACATAGCAGTGCAAGTAGTACTAACTTTTTGATTAAGTATAACTTGTTTTGGAAAATTAAATGGTTGTATCTTAGGTAAATCTGTAATAACACAATTTTATAGAATTATTTTAAGTTTTACTTTAATGCTTTAATTCCTTAAAATTTCAGCTTTTACTTACCTTGCAGCTGGACTTCTGTTAACAAAATCAAACTAATCATCAAATTGTTCCAAACCACATTCATTGTGCGCCCTTTCTATCAAATTACACGACTAAATTTCTAAAAAATTTCATTTAAATTGTTTCGATTCTTATTTCATTGCATTTTATCTGAACACAAAACAACTCTGTTTGTTTCCCTATGAAACGAGGATGATTACTTCAATACAAAGAGATGCGAGAGATAGAAGCGCCCCACAGTGATGAAATGTGTAATTTAAAATTGAAAGTGTTTTTGCAGTAATGTAATAATAACATTACACTATAATAATTCCATCCGGTCAACATATTTTTAATATATTTCATCTATGATTTTATGAATTATAAATTTCACTTTCTGATATAATTTCACGGACAATGTTTTTAACTTATTTCTTACCATATATTGTTACTGAAACAGTTTTTTCGATGTCTTTCCCGACACCATTCGATATTTTACAGGTATAAAATCCTTCGTCTTTCTTCATAACATTCTCTATTACTAAACTGCCATTCTGGTAAATCGTTAATGTATCAGTATCGTGTAATATTACAAATGAATCTTCTCTTCCTATAAATTCAATATTATTTTCAATTGTAAGTAACTTTCAAGAAATGTATAACATTTATATTCTTACGTGAAGATTTTGTCCAAGTAACTAAAGGAACAGGCTTGCCAGTAGCATAACATAATAAAATAACTGTCTGACCGAGATGTACTTCCTTATCTACGGGCATGTTTTTCCAGGATGGTGGCACTATCAAATTATATTTTATGAATAAAATCTATATTTATTTTAATATTATATACGTAAATATAAATAAAATCCCTACCTAAAACAGATAAAGCGGTACTAAAACTATCAGTGAGAATGCCTGACGTTACTTTACACGTATAATTTCCATCGTCATCTTCTGTTAAGGAATCGATTGCCATATTTGAAGCAAAAGATAAAGATGCGATTTGTATCCTCTCAGATGAAGTAAGCTCTACATTATTTTTAAACCATTGAAACTGTAATTGTTGACCCCATGTAGTTGCACACATTACAGAAACTCTTTGGCCAGCAATTGGCTGATTTGGAAAGCTAAATGGCTGAATTTTTAATTCATCTGGAATTTAATTTTGTTATCAATTTTCATATAAAGGATATATTATAATGATAAAATTTCAATAATGCAAATAAATTTAAGAATAATTTCCTGGAAATTGTTATTTTGAATATTAAATATGTTCTCTTACCTTTTTCATCACAGAAGACTATCCCTAATAGTAGTAAAAGATGTAATATCTTCATTCTGCTTTAATCGAATCAATTAAAATTTTCTTATTAAGCAATTATATTTCATATTACTGCTTTAATTTCCATACATTTCAGTATTATTATTAAAACCACAAAAGGAAAAGGAAAATCACGATAACTTCTTTTACACGTAACCAAACAAAGAGAAACACACCAATATACCACTACGCCCTCTGAATTCACTGTACCACAAATGCTCTATAAATTCTGATAGAAAATTTCTATATCCGTTACTTTGAAAAAACAGATTTCTAAAAAAATTTATTTTCCGATATTCCATAAATATGTTTATAATTTAAAACACGAACTGGTTAAGTTTATTGACGCACACTATAAGCGGGTAAGCATGGTTTCAATTAAGAACTCGAAATTTAGTAAACGTGTTTTAATTTTATATATTAGAAATACTTAGTTCAATATATACATTATATTGAATTATAGTATATATTATAGGATTTATGAATAATAAAATATGCAATGTTCTATATATTTTTAAAAGTTTATTGAATACATATGCAGTAAATTTATAATTAGTGTATTATAAATAAATGCTGCATTACCATTAACTCTTAGAGTAACAGTTTTTTGAAGATCTTGACCCACTCCGTTTGTTATTTCACAGCGATAATTTCCTTCATCCTCTTTAGATACAGCATTTAATTCTATTGTTCCATTATCATAGAGTTTTAAATTATCGCTTGCCGTTATTTCGAGAAAATTATCTTCGTTCACTTCAAAGCAATCAGAAAATTAATCACAATATATTTATTTATAAAATAAGCTTTGAAATTATATCATATAAATTAATCATACTCGAAATTTTCCATTTAATTTGAGGTAGCGGTCGTCCGGATGCTTCGCAGTTAAATATAACTGTTTCTCCAAGGAATGCATTTTTATCAGTTGGAATTTTTAACCATGCAGGAGGAACTGCAGTATGATCGACAGTTAGAAAATTCCTCGTTTTGTAAAGTAAAATAAAGAACAAAAATACACATTATAATTAATGGTTACCTGAAACTTTCAAAACGGAGCTCCGACTTTCCACAATGTTTGTTGTTTTAACAACACACGTGTAATTGCCACTATCTTCTTCCGATACTGGGTCGATTACGATCGTTGATACATCGCCATAAGAATGAATTTGTATATTGTTACTTTTTTTAATTTCTATACCATCTTTTAACCACGTAAATCTGAGATTTTCTCCAGTTCTAGTAGCACAAAGAACACTTACGCGATCACCGATGGAAGTTATACTAGGAAAATTAAGAGGTTGCACTTCTAATCTTTCTAGAATAATAAATTATAGATTAACTTAAGTTAATTAACTATATTCGTTAATGCTTTTGATAAGTATAAAAAACTCACCACTGGTGCACAAATACATCCAGTTGACAAAAACAAGTATGCAAATATTTCTTTGCATCGACATCACAATCATCCTACTATCGATAATTTTCAATGAGAGAACAGATATAATTTTTCCGATAATTAATTTAAGAATCTACACGTTCCTCATTTTCTTCTCTCCTGCGTAGCCAAAGCGCACGGTTAACATACGTTACCAATCTACAAACATATCTAACAAAGACATTACGTCCTCTCACTGATACTCGCCTTAGCGCCCTCGTACATTAAATTTTCTATAAAATGCTGTATTTTTAAAACAATAATTTGTATATATTGTTAAATTATTATTTATTTTTATTATGATTATATAATTTATTATTTTAAATTTGTTATGTTTGAATTCAAATAAACTACCGAATAAATTTATCATTTTGATTAATTTTGTTACTAATTCAAGCTTTCTGTATTTGCAAGTAAGAGCTCTGATCATCAAATAAAAAATTATTAATGGCTGAAATATATGAAAAATCCTTTAAATGGCATTAATTTATTTCAATTATTACAATGAATTTATTAACTCTTAAAACAAATTGATAAAATATAAATTGACAAAACATTACTTTCATTAAATATTATTTTACAAATTTACTTAATTTCTAATGCATTTAGCTATAAGTTAAATAAAGTACTTATTATATTTTTAAAACGCGATTATGAATTTAATCTTAAATATTAATTAAGGATGTTATTTATTTAATAATTTCCTTTTTTTTCCTTTAATTTATACAATTTTTTAACAATTTAAACAAAGACATGCTTATAAAAAAAAGCAATTTTTAATTAATTATATTATATTGCACGATTATTAAACCGAATTAAATAATATTGTATACTTAAACTTATGTACTTCATATTAATGTGAATATAATATATACATTTTAATATGTAATCACAAAATTATTATAGATTGAAAATTCATTTTCAAAATGCGATATGTTATTCAATTGCAAAATACAGTATAAATTAAAATTTTTCGAAAATAAAATTGAAACAAACCTTACCTGTAACTCTTATCGTTATCGTTTTCTTTAGTTCTTGGTTGATTCCATTCGAAATTTCACAAGAATAGATGCCTTCGTCGGCTTTCTCGATTTCAGTAAGTGTTAAAGAACCGTTTCCAAAAATTGTGCTTTTAGAACTTGCATGAATTTTCACAAAATTTTCATCATTCAAACCTTAAAAGTTTTAACGCCATTATTACATTATCACGCAGATAATCAATCGAATCATTCCGACACGAAATACCTAAAGCTTTCATCCACGTTGTAATTGGCGGAGGATTTCCGGAAGCCAAACAGTCAATGGTTATAGTACTTCCTTCGAATACATTTTTGTCTGCAGGTATATGAAGCCATTTTGGAGGAACTGTAATGATATTTTCTCAAGATGTTAACGATTCAATATGTAATTACTATTCTATTTAAATTAGAAATATGGTGTATTCTAAAGTACCTAACACTGTAAGAGACGTCGTAAAGCTGTCGGAAGCGATTCCAGAAGTTACTACACAAGTATAATTTCCACTATCGTCTTCGTGCAAAGGATCTATTATTATTGTAGATACATCCGCATAAGATCTTAGTTGAATTCTATCCGAAGCATTTATCTCTTGACCATTTTTCAACCAACGAAAATTTAACTTGTCTCCCGCTCTTGTCGTGCATGTAGTACTAACCCGTTCATTTAGAGCAGAAGGTGAAGGAAAATTAAATGGTTGGATTTTTAGAATATCTGAAACGTATATAGCAGGTTTATAACTATTAGTGATTAATAAAAACTCAAAAAAATCTCTTAAAAGTCTCCTAGCTTACTGAATGTAAACTTACATCATAAATATATTTTAAGAGTTTCCTTTGTTATATATTAATAATAGCGAAAAAATTTTAAAATTAATAAAAATTTAACTTTATTTTTTATCATATACAGTAACTTATATAAATGAAGTTTCCTACATTTTTGTAAAGCCTACATTCGTTCACGAGTGGTGAATCTGTTATATGTTCAAAGGATAATATTGAAAATAATTTATTAACTAAAAACACGTCATATTAACAAACATTTTTATTATAAACATTATATAACGCTAATTTTCCAATTTCTTTTTTACAACAATCACATTTTAATTAAAAGTTAATAAGAAAAATGATTCTGGAAGTCGCTAAATAATATATTCAAAACAAGTTTAATTTCATTATCATTTAAAGAAATTCCAGTTTTTTTATTTTTAATATTTTACAATTAGTCTATGATACTTTCCAAAATATTCTCTAACCTACATTACCTTACTTTGTTTTTAACAGTGTTATTTGGGCCTCTAAAGTTTAGTGAAGAATCATATTTTAATTAAATATGTAGATAACATTTACCTAATTAAACATGCGTTATAAGCCGTTTCTATTAAAATTCACCACTAACGATCGCACAGTTATCTCAATATGATCCTTATAAACTTAATGTGTAAAGAACTTACCTTGAGATGCATTTGCAAAAGTGAACATTAGGATTATTTCTAAAATCATATTTGTTGTAAGAACTATAAAACACATTTTCAGAAAAAGGAGAATGCGACTAAAAATTTTCATGCAACCAGAATACGTCGCGACGGACAAAGGCAATGCTGTGGATGTTTCTGATGGAACAGCGTCCTCTAAAGGTTAATTCGAAAACCAAAAGCAGTATTAAGAATTTGTGTTATTAATCGTTAAATATTTATAAATTATTTGCCTTAACGAATTCAAAAATGTGCTAAATTTAAACTTTTGTAAATTTCATAATGGTGTTTAAGTTTAAACTTTAAAAATAAGATTAGAAACCTTGCGTAAAATGCAAAATCAAATTGGGGTCTTTATGTTTAAATTTTATTTTGTAAAGAATCACGTATTCCTAAATTCATCGATGACTTTACCGAATGTTCCGGTGGATGTTTTCCACCGGAAGTGTCTCTAAACGCATCCGGTTTGCACCGATGTCTCATTAAGCTCAACAGTCTGTAAAACTGGTACGGACTGGTGAACAGTCGTAAACAATATCACTGATTCCATGAAATGCATGCGTTTGACACATGGGGAATATTCTGTAAAAACTTTGTGTAAAGATTCAAACAAGTAATTGTTCCTCATTTTCAGAATTTTGTGTTTTTTACGCAATCTGCAAGTAAATGTACTACATGATACGAATGTTTGGACTCAAGAATCCGCCATGTTTATTCAACGGTGTAATTTAAATTTTTTTACATTTGAGAATGAAGGAATATTATGAATAATTTAACATTTTAACTAATTAAATAAACTCAGAAAATTATTCAGTGGCGTACCGTAGTGGGGGCGGCAGGGGCGGCAAAATTACCTTTCAGGGGGCGGCAAAATTTCACAATAAATAATAATAATACTGTACCTTGTAAAAATTTGAAACATCCTAATCTATACTTGCATCGCGCCTACGATAGTGCTATCGTCCTTACAGTCTGGGAATCGGCTCGCCGGGTGAACTAATAACTTTTTCGTCCGAGGAATTCCTGCGAAACCTGTTGATCTTTTTTTTGCTTGTACGATCCATTTGCGTTCATATACACCACTAATATCCAATAGAACTATTTTAAACAGGTCGCTGCACTACCACCGAATTTTTCATTGCTTGTTCTGTGACAAAACTGAATTTTGGTCTTTTAAATTGAAATACCTAAATAAGGGGGCCGAAATTTTCCTCCTCCCCGGGCGGCTGACACCCACGGTATGCCACTGAAATTATTACTAAACTAAACGTATTTATAACTAAACTAATATCAAATTGAATTGTTTTGTGTGACAGTAAACAATTATCTTTCAATGTTACTTCTCCGATTTTTTTACTGTTACTGATATTTCCTTTTCATGGCTAATAAATTTAAGTTATAAAATTAGAATAATAAAATAGTAAACTATAAAATAATTAATTATTCTAATTTTAAAAACAAACTTTAAAAATTTTTCGAAAATGAATTTTCAAGGAATAGAAAATACATTTTTAATAGAAAATAAATATACATAAACTATGTAATTTAATCCTTTTTAATGTAAAAATTACATTGATTTGAAAAAAGATTTTACTCACAAAGACAAACTCGTAATAAGCGCTTTCAGGGACGTTATCACCGAACCACGAAGTGTTCGCTGAAAGAATTCGCAAAGCATACTTAACTTCAATTTTCTTGAAAACGGTTTGAGAAATATATGAATATTAGAGGTCACGATATGGTCACTGTGATGATCATGTCGTGACCTCTATTTGTAAGAAATTAAAGATTTCAGTTCTTCATTCTATGGGATCCGAGTTCGAGTTCACATCAGAACTCCAGAAATTTTCGTGGGTGGTTTTGACTAAGATATGCCGAGTCTGGGATTACTCGCTATTCTGTCACCATATTTTTGAGTTTGATCGAATTCGTCGTGAATTTTAAAAATAATATCCTTTTACTGCCACAAGACGAAAAAAAATTTTTAATTATATTATCCTAAATATTTTATTTATAAAATAAAACATAAAATGATGAGATAAGCGACTAGACAGTTATGCAGGATCGGAATCGCATAAATTTCCACGAGCAGCTTCATCCATATTGTTGCTCATGTTAGACCGACCCATACTTATAAAACTTATCCTAATCCGCAAAAATAAGACCTTTGCCTATTTATAATAAATTAATAATATAAAAATAATTTTTTAAATAAAATCTCATAACAGATTGCGCCGCAATTTTAACTTTGTAAGTTATTTGAATGGCAAAAAAATCGTGCAAGAGTTTGCTGCTTTTTTGCTTTAGTTATGACATTATGTTTTAAATGTATGAAATTATACTTCTAAATAATAACTTTAATTGATAATAAATGTTTATACAGAACCAAATATTATTCAAATAATAAACAGATTATCATTTCCTGAATTAAAAAATTTCTATTTAATTTTACTCACTCTTTTTTTAGAGAGTTTGCTATATTCTAACAAAACACAAAAAACATTACAATTAAAAAACCCGGCAACGAGTAGCGTAACTTTCTCGGCTGTCATGAGAATTTATTTAAACTAGATAGGTCATATCGAAAAACTCGAGACGATGTTTATTGATGTAGCTAGCCTGGGCGAGTGTTTTCACATTTTTGGGTCCGGTTTTTTTTACATATAAAGCCACACAATTGCTTCATATTTTTGCAGTTTGGTGAATTTCGGTTTAAAAAAATATGATTAAAAGTATAGATAAAAAGAAAAATGCAATAAAGAAATTAAATTAAAGTAAACGAAAGTAAAGAAAATAAATAAAGTAAACTTAACTAAAAAATGGGTTCTGGGGAACTTTTGCATTTTTTTTTTTTTTTTTTTTTTTTTTTTTTTTTTTTTTTTTTTTTTTTTTTTTTTTTTTTTTTTTTTTTTTTTTTTTTTTTTTTTTTTTTTTTTTTTTTTTTTTTTTTTTTTTTTTTTTTTTTTTTTTTTTTTTTTTTTTTTTTTTTTTTTTTTTTTTTTTTNCTAGTGAGGATGATGGATATAAATCAGGTTCCTTTTTCTTTGAACTTGGATAACTTTTCTGTAGTTTAACCGAAATTCGCCAAGATCTGTAAAAATATGAAACAACTGTCTGGCTTTATATTCCATAAAACAGCACCTAAAAATGTTAAAATACTTTTTTATTAAGCGTCAAGGAGGAGAAAGTCGACACTTTCATTTTTTGAATATATGTTTTTTCTGAGTCAATTATATTTTCCAAAAGATAATTTATGCACATGCCAGGATTCTACCGAGCATTCTGATATCAAAATTATCAAAATCTAACGAGGGAATTCTTTTAAAAAAATCAGACATTAAACTAAAAAAGTTCTTGCAGAAGCCTGGGCTTCGCCCAGAAAATTATAAAATGGTAAAACGCACAACTCGGAGGATAGATTCTAGATGATGGTTCTGATTTTAGGTATTTAGGTATCTGATTTAGGTATTAAAAATTATAAATGCTAATAAACAAGTAAAATCACCATTAAATTCGATCCCTCTCGAGATAGGATACATGATCCTCTTCTATCATCCCACCCCTCGACATTTAACCACCAAAATTTATTATTATTAATGTCCCTTACATACAAGCTACCATGCCAAAGTTCGTTTCGTAATCTTTACACCATCCTGAGATATTAAATGAAAGACCCACCCCTTTTTGACTTTTTCTCCTTTTCTGACTTGTTTTACTTTTTTGGAGTTCAAAACATGCAGATTTGCAAAAGACTTAGAGGGTCAAATTTGACACGATTCTTATACTTTCCTTCTTATGTACGAGCCTCGTATATGTTACGGCCAAAGCCCAAAATCGGCGAAAGTGGGAAATGTCTGGCCAAATCAGAAAATTGCTAATGTAAATTGACTGGCCAATGTCCGATCTTTTCTTGATTTTAGGATTTGGCCAGCCAGTTTGCAAAATGGCATGGGGCGATCGGCCAAAGTCGGAAGAAAAAAGTCATAATGGATCTGTATAATTCATACTTTATCTTGATTATTAATTATAAATTATCAAATTCAATTATGTGTTAAGCTTATTAATAGTAAATTATCAACCTTTAATCATCACTTGTTACAACAAGATGACATTTCGAACTACACAACAGTTTATTATTTCTACATTTGCAGCGATTTGTTGCGCTCTTAGTCGTGGAATTGCATCGAGTGTAGCCTTGGCCGCCTCTCAGTGAATGGGAAGACGCGATAATTTGTAGTAACTTTTCTTCTGCGCCCACGCATTCCAGTATGAGTAGTTTCTCGTGCAGAATAGAAAACTCACTTCTGGAATACAGTGTTTAAGAACACCATGTTCTGTTCCTAGCTTGTAGAAAGCGCTCTCGACGTTCACGACAATTGCAAGAACGCTTCTTGGATTACCGCGACTTCTATCAACATTTGGCATACGGATGCGTACGTTATCTCCAACTTTCACCAGTGGGAATTTTGCATCTGAAAATTTAAGCATATTATAACCGCATTATGTATCTTATTACAAATTTCTATACTACATGTGAAAAAAGTGATAAGATTGCTATTGTATATTCGAATATAAATCCGTATATACATATTCCCAATGGAAGCGCCGTATTGCTGAATGTGGGACAGCTTCCACGGCGAAAATATATGAATTGTGTAAAGCAGCCAGATTACAGGCATTCGCGCATGCGCTTTACAGAGCACCAACCTCTCGCGGTTTAGCTGGTGGATGCTACACACCAAAATATCGTATAACGCTTCCAATGATTCTATCTAGGGCCGGCACAGCTTCCTTATCATCAAATGTCACCGCACATCACTGTATAGCATGCAAGTAATTATTTTTCCGTACCCTTCGTCTGCTTTATTACTTATTCCACAAATTGCACGGACATCTTTGCCGCAGGATCCACAAGAATGGGTTGAACTACATGATTTTTCACACATTACACAGAATCTTTTCGCATTGTTATTGTCAAACAACCAGTCTAGACTTTCCGATGGTTTCACCGCCACGAAAGCAGCTTCATTTCCGGAGGCAGTCCCTGCATTTATAGCATTCTCTATTTTTTGTTCGACGTTCTTAAGATCTTCGTCTGTAAGTTAGCGACAACCTCTCTGGGCGGATTTGAGGTACTCGGCCCCACCTTTGCTTTGCAGCCAAACATAGCCTGATATAGCGACTGCTGAATGCTTTGGTGAAAAGAACGGTTTTTCATGAATTGAATAAATCGGAGACCCTCAGACCAATATGTTAATTCATTTGTCTGCATCCATGTCATCATCATATTCTCAACATCTCAGTTAGCACATTCCATGGAACCTTGATGCTTTTAAATAATTTTTTATTTAAAAAATAAAAATTAATCGTACGATAACTTTTTGTCATGTATTCGGAAGCCCTGCAATTTTGAAAAAAGAGTCGACGGTTCCTTCTGAATTTTCTTATATTCAGCAAGGTCTCATATTTAGAAGTCGAGTTACGTATCAGTTTCAAATGTTTTGTATATACTTGGCCCACTTTCCATCTGAATCTTAGCCGCAGCTCAAAATTCTGCTTTGCTCTCCATGTTATCTAGTAATCATCTATTAGTCGAGTTCGTTTCGTCCAGAATGACTTGACGTCACTTTTTCGGCTTTTTCATCGTAAAACTGAAGAGTTAACGTCAAACTGTCGTTAATTGTACACTTTTTGGACGAAACGAACGTAAGCATTATTAATTTGAAGAAAATTTTAAATTAATGTTATAGATCGATGAGATTTTTAAAGTGTATTTGTTGTTTGAAATAAGTTACGAGATTCAACAATGAATTTCGTTTGTTATAAGTTATTTATTGTGAATAATGGAGTTTTAACAATCAGAATCAGTTTTAACAATAGTATTGTTCAACAACATCGCAAATATCAAGACCGAAGAGTAAATAATAAGGAACACTTGACGATTTTGCATATCCTCCTTGCGCAGGGGCATGCTACTCTTCTCTGTATCGTTCCTGTTTTAGCATTTTTTGTACTACCGAAGTTGTATCAATTGATTATTCATATTTCTAATTTTATTTCAGGTAGCGAACAACTTGAGAGTACTTTGACGATACATGTCATCTTTTTACCTTTTGATCATCGACTTACGGGTCACCTCGTGTAATGCAAGTAGTAGATAAATGGCAGTTCGGCTCAGCTTTCAACGAGATGACCCAAATCCCAAAAATGCCAACCTTAAAAAATAGCGCAATACATAACATTCCGTCCATTTTCTTAGTTTCTGGAATCTGAAGGTTGAAATTTCAACAAGAAAACAAATGTGAAGGTTCCGTTGAAATATATTAATTAGGAACAGAGTTATTAAATTGGAAAATAATTCTCTAACAATATTTTTCATTATCGTTTCAAATTACTAAGATAATTTATTCCCATTATTCCTCCGGTTGTTATTACCATTCTTATCCATTTTTTAAAATATGAATATCAAGTCTTTTAGTTTATTTATAAGTTTTATATTTTTATATTATACTAAATCTGTTGGGAAGAAATATTTGAACTGTTTCCAAATAAACTCATAATGGTATTGACACTATTATGAGTTTATTTCAATATTGAGTGATAAATAATTCCAGTTGATAGCTGAATATTGATAGGCTATGTTTAATTCAAATTCGTGTAACTTTTGAGTTAAAACGAGTGAGAGATTTTCTCAATGTTTCCATTTATACAGGTTGAAATTTTATATTTTAGTGCAAAAATTCATGAACTATCTTCCAATAGTTAATTAATTATCCTTGTAACATAGAACTTTTCTGTTAACTCGAACTTCATGTAAATCATGTTTAGAGCTTCTTTGTTGTTTTGTAATGTGGCTGTAATGATTTTTGCTATTGAATAAGTCATTTATCTACTACAAATGCATATTCTACATTTTTTATATACAGTCGACCCTCATAACACTGTTGATAATTCCGTTTTATATGAATTCATATTGAACGAGTCACTTAGATTTTATAAATACGTGAGCCGTTCATAGCCCGGCACACGTATTTGTAAAATCTCAGTGACTCGTACAACATGGAATTCATATAAAACGGAAAAATCAACAGTGTTATAGAGGAGTCGACTGTATAGAATTTTTAACAAAATTTGTAATGTATTTGCAATGATTTATATTGGAAACTGTCGCTATTCCAGTTTTTACCGTAATGGTGATTCTGTCTAGCCATTACGGGGTTTCTGGACAAACAAAAAACCCACGGAAAAGGGTGAGACCTTGACGATGGTTCCGTGGCTTCTAATGGAATTCATTTTCTGTAACTAACTTCACCCGGCAGAAGCATTCAAAAATACTTTTTGAATTTATTCTTTTTTCATGATATATCAATAGTTTTACTTTTATCTTGGAATCATTTTTGCCGTTAAAAACAGTAATTCATTAATTGTCAACGTTCGTTTATACAGCAAATCAATCTGGAAAGTAAAATATTAAGATGCATTAAAAAATTAGACCGGTATTAACCAGAATTTTGTATAAGTATAATGTATGTGTATATATATATAAATGTAAATGAAATGTATAATACACATGTAACTTATAATTTTAAATACAATATTATGTTATTATTCTAAAAGTGAAGTGAAGAGACATTTTGTGTATCTCATTTCAAAAATAAACAATATTGTTTAAGTCCATAACGTATTCATTTTATATGACATAACATTCTCGGTGGATAATCGAATGCATTCAATGAAACTATGTTACTGTGAAAGACCGAAATTAGAGAATGTCGACACATACAAAATACATCGGTGAAAGTCCGAATATTTGGATATATTATTATACATTCGAATAATCGCCAGTGTATGTCGACAAACACAGATAAGCTTTGGTGGAGGTCGAAACGACACCCGGGAAGCCGATGTCGACAGAGAGGCGACAGTCTGTTGAGGCCAAATCCTTTGTGGGTAGCCGGAGATAGGACAAGGTCTTTTGATTCCGTGAAGTGGGGATCAAAAGACCTTGTCCTATCTAAAAGACGGTTTGTCAGATCGTGTGGCAGAGGATGAGAGGAGTCGTCGGTAAGGCGTCGGCGATATCCGAATAAAAGACACCATTAACAGATCAGTTCGTAATCACATAATAACGCAATCAGTTCGTAATTTGTAAAAAAAAAAAAAAGTTACTTTCTATAGATGAGATTTCTTCTCAAGAAATATCGCTGAATAAGCAACTGCAGCTAATTCAAAAAGTAGAGGGCAAGGCTATAAACTGTCATTGCAAAAAAAAGTGTTCCACCAATAAATGCAGTTGTAAAAGCAAGGAACTCTTGTGCAATTCGAAATGCCATAACAGTTTAAGTTGTTGCAATAAATAAGATTGTATAACGTTAATCACATAATTTATGTGTAAGTTTATTATTGTATTATTTTCTTTAATGATTTAGAATGTACTCGTTTTCTCGTTTCGTCATAATTCGTTTTAGGTTCAACAGTTTATTTACATATGCTGTTACTTAAGCTTTCTCCTATTTCCACATATTAAAATGTTGCATTTTTGTCTTAATGTAATAAAAATATTTTTATTCAATATTCACCGTCAGTGCATGCTGAATGTCGACATTTGCCAGTGTAAGTGAGAAATAATGATATTTAACAAATATTTCGTACATACACGAAACGACTGTGTGAATGCTGACATTCACCGGAGAATGTTGACATTCGCCAGATATCGGTCATTCACAGTAACAATCACAGTACCGAATATTCGGCCAAACTATTCGGCTTGATTAACGCACGTACGAAAGTTGCGCACAAACCGCATTATGGCAAGGATCCTGCTCTCTATTGGCCCGCTGTCACTACGCTTCGCCAATCACGTTAATTCTTGACAGTTGTAGNAATCACATAATTTATGTGTAAGTTTATTATTGTATTATTTTCTTTAATGATTTAGAATGTACCCATTTTCTCGTTTCGTCATAATTCGTTTTAGGTTCAACAGTTTATTTACATATGCTGTTACTTAAGCTTTCTCCTATTTCCACATATTAAAATGTTGCATTTTTGTCTTAATGTAATAAAAATATTTTTATTCAACATTCACCGTCAGTGCATGCTGAATGTCGACATTTGCCAGTGTAAGTGAGAAATAATGATATTTAACAAATATTTCGTACATACACGAAACGACTGTGTGAATGCTGACATTCACCGGAGAATGTTGACATTCGCTAGATATCGGTCATTCACAGTAACAACTATATAAAATCTGTAAATGTAGATCAATACAGAAATCGTTGGATTATTATTAGACTGTAATTTAAAAATTTCAGATCTATGGAAACCAGATATGGAAAGCTTAAGAGCAGGAGACCCCGATTAACAAATAACGGACTTCCGGTTTTTTGGGAAGTCCCGCTATTTTAATTGAAAAATTCCTCCAGAACAGTTAGAATCTAACTGTTAGATAGATAATAGGCATGACTCTCTTGTTAACAGGAAAGTATGATGTACAGGAGCAAGACACTACTAAAATCAAGAGCATTGTGCATCGAGATCTAAAAAATTGCAACCAGGCATTTTGACAATGTCACAATAAATAATTGCTCGTTATTTATAGAAAATATATTTTTTTTTGACCATACATACATAGATAAGTCTTTGTCTATTTTTTGTCCCTTGCCTATTTTCTGGAATTTGTTGTTGCCTCGTACAGCGTGTGAAGGGACAGAAAATAGACAAAGACTCATCTATGTATGTATGGTCAAAAAGAAATATATTTTCTATAAATGTCATAATTTGTCCTGGCAGTTTTTTATTTTTTTATAATTGCTCGTTATTTTTATTTTTTTATACCTGATAAAATCAAAATCATTTTGGAATAAAGTTTGCATTGTTTAAACTTGTTTATTTTAAACTATACATACCTTAACTTATGGCAATACAACCTCAGCAAGAAAAAAAACAATATTCTTTATCTTATATAGTTCCAGACCAATTATCCAACAAGTTTTGGGTCGAAAAGTGGTCCAGTTTTTCGGACACGGGCTAAATATATACTTAAAATATAAAGTAAACAGTAGAAAGTAAAGAACGAAACTGCATTTAACAGATGCAAATTAATATATTTTTAAAATATGGTCTGTTTAATCATTATTTATCCTCTTAAAAAAGGAATGTTATGCATACAACAATTTTTAGATTAAAAATTATACGAAGATAAATATAGAACATGATGGAACTGGCGTCGTATAACGCGTACATCACAGAAACTAAAATTCAAGGTCCGCACGGTGAACTACAGCTTTACTACAGCTTACCATATTCAAGAGTAGTCGGTTTTCTGGTAATTCCGGATTTGTGGTAGCTGAATAATTGGACTTTACTATAGTTAAACTTTTCGAACTCGAAGCTCTAGGGAGCAGAAAAAATCTTCGTTAAAGACGATTCCATTTAGAAAACAATAGAATGAAAAAGCCGATTCTAAAGAGATTTATATTTTTACCTCTATTGTATTATGCAAAGCATTTTTGATAGTTTTTGTTTTCAACAGTCAGTGTAACACCTTTCGGCAAAATGTCCAATGTATTCAATGGAATCAAACGGTTTTGCATGTACATCTTATTGAGATAAACCGAGAGGTCCACTCGCTTTGGACTGGAACGTTGTCTGCAAATGGATATCAAACAGTAGACACAACTATCTGTTTGAAAATTACATGGAAATCCGATATTTACGATCACTGTTGATAGAATAAATATTAAAATTCAATACTGTACTGTACATTCTCAAAGTATCTCTTGTCTTCTCCGGCTTGTCCACACTGCGGGGAAAACGAGACTATATACCGGGGATCGCAAAGACAAATGCAGCAAAAGGCCATTCAAATAGGTGTACTCTACTGTACATCAGATACGGACCGTATTCAATATTATTCAGTAAACTAAAACATACTGTTATTTTGTAAAAAAGACTCTAACAAATGTCCTTTTGTTGCCAGGTCTCTAAGACTTTGTAAACTGTTAGACGTTTGAATTTTTTCC